AATGCAAAGGTTGTTATGATTGATTAGAAAGTGAATAAATATTTTACATTGGTTAATTACTTAGTTAAGGGCACTTGTGATTCCCTCTCTACATATGGTTTACGACTCTCACATACTAATTTATCGTTAGTTGTTGTTGAATATCATGAAAGGCTTTATGGAGTATTGGATCCTAGTTAAAAGTTCATTAGTATTGATGCTCATTTACCTGATCTTTAAGTAAGTTTGTGTAAATTGAGCTGCTTGGTGAAGCATGTCGGCAGAACCAGTCCAGAGTGGGAAGAGAGAAACAGAAAATAGAGACTTTCATGTAACACTATATGGCCAATATGGTCATTAAGGTTTATCGTACAAATCCCATTCTTTTCAGGGACAACAGTGATAACATAATACTTTAGCATACCATATATACTGCAACTGTATAATTTTGGAACTATCATTTATACTGCACAACAATAACATTTTCATTACATAATGGAAAATTTCCAAATGATAAATATACAATCTATTTTATTATTATTAATAATAATTCCGAAAATCTTTCCATTTGATAAGCATACTGAGGACATCTCGAAGAGCTTCATAGGATATACTGTAAAATGTAGCGACTGTGTATTTTGTAGCCGAATTATAAAATCTGTATGGAAGTGTTGGTCTTTTGTATTGGTCTATTGAAGAAAATTATCTGGGGAAACATTGAGAGGTTACGTACTTTCCGCTACAGTACTTTTATCCTTCAGTATTGTGGCATTTCAGTGTACTCTAGAAGTACTCCCTGGAGTGAAATGGTTTCAAATTGAGCTGACTGTTTTACTGTGATCAGTTATCAGCTCACTGTGTAACCCATTAGGTCACTATGCACACTAAGCCAGACCCCATCAACTTGTGATTCTTATGTGATACACAAGATAAACATGAACTGACTCTAAAGTGTGCTACAGTCATGATGTAGTTGCTTTATGCCTCTCTCATGGAGCATAAAAGATTCTGGGGTCAAAGTCTGCTTAAAGAGCTGCATTTGCTATGAGAAAAGCACTTAACATGCTGAGCCTTTGAGGAAAATTAATAGCAGAAAATATAACTCCCTATGCTTGATTTTCTAAAAAGGACTATGATTTTACTTTGAATCCTGCCAACAGATAATACTGATTACCTTTCAAACCAAATCCAGCTTAGTTTAATTACTTTGTCCAGTGCATGAACCTCTAAGACAGCCCTTTAAAAACAATTGCCCTGGGGTACTGTATTTCAAATTACTCTTCCAATAATGCTTTGTGATACTGTACAGACTTCTTTGGTTGTGCTATGAGCCAAAATGCATGATTATAGCCATTGGAGCCTATGCTGACTGACCATCACAGGCTATTTACACACTCAGAGAGAGGTGAGTGTACAGCAACATCTGAAAAAGAGCACTGTGCACTTTTTTAATTATCACTGTGAAATAGACAGTTCAAACAGAACTGTATCTGGTTCATTTGCCAATAACAGTGATTCTGTCATTCCTGTGTAAATACATGTATTTCAGGTTGACAAAATGTCATCCTGATGAAAATGTCAGCATTTAGATCATAATTGTAACCACATTTAATCTAAACTTTAAATTCTCATTTTTCCAATGGCTTAGAGTAAAGGCAATGCTATACATATCAGAAGGCTTCGGGTTTGATCCCAAGCCTGTGCTGAACTAATAAAAATAACCCTTCTATTTGATATAGCGCCTTATCACATCAGCTGATACTAACCAGGCAGCACTAAGCACATTACAATTAGCCTCAGTGTGAATGGGGAAAATCAGCTATTGTTCCTGTATCTAATAGGCCTCTCTATAAGATGAATGTCAGATGAGGACAGGATCAAGCTTGGCTATGATGCTTTCTGTGGTTGAACAGTCTCTCAAGGTTAATACGTAAATGATCAAAATGACATTGTAGAAAGAGGCCATTTGGCCCATCAAATTGGTGGTAGTTTATCCACTGAAACAAATTAATCCCAAATCCCTGTTCTCTCCACATACCCTATTATATTATTGCCCTTTAAATGTTTATCTAAATCCATTTTAAATATAGTACTCCTTTCATTTAGGTCTTATTTGACACGTGGGCAAACCAATCCATGTTATAATAATAATAATAATAATCCTTGCATTTGATATAGCGCTTTTCACGTCTTCTAGACGTCCCAAAGGGCTTCACAGAATAAATATACTGTAAAGTGAATTGACTGTACATTTGTGGGCGAACGCGGCAGCCAATTGCACACAGCAATGTCCCACAAACAGTCATGGATTGAAAATGACCAATTTATTATTGTTTTGTTTTGGAGGGATTATTATTAGGCGTGTGGAGTAAGGAAACTTGCCCAAGATTTCGCCCTGCCTGGAATTGAACCCAGGTGTTTCGCTTGCAAGACAAGTGCTCTAACCACTGAGCTACAGGACTCCAGTTATAGAAAGCATATGCACGAAAATCTAATATACACTGAAACCCTTGCTAGCCGGACTAATGGTGGTGGGGGGGGAGAGATAAAATAATAATAATAATATTCCTTGCATTTGATATAGCACCTTATCACAGCATTGAGACGTCTCAAAGCGCTTCACAGGAAATAGTGTAAAGTGAATTGACTGTATATTTTTTAGAGAATAAGCTCTCTTCTGCTCACGGGATTCAAACAATCTGAGTCAAAATCGCTAACGCTGGCCACTTTGAAGCCCAGCAAGAATGGTGAGGCTGCTCAGTGCAGTGTTGCTACACACTAGGAAAATTACGCTGATGGGAGTCTATAGCAGTACTGTTCACTAGAGTTTATTCTATCAGGTGACATATGATTACTATATTTGCGGCATGCAGAAATTTTTGGTCCATGGAAATGTTTTAAATTTTTGATTTTGGGCCCGATCCAGCTAGGTTTGAATTTCAGATACCCAGAGTCTGGTAAGCCGGGGGTTAACAACAACAACAACAACTTACATTTATTTAGTGTCCCAGATTGCTTGACAATGGCGGACTCTGACACCAAGCCAGGGAGAGAGGGAGGTGGGAGGTGACTGTAAACACGATCAAAAAGGAAGGTCTTTAGGCGGGATTTGAAAGTGGGGAGGTATTGAGGGAGAGAGTTCCAGAGTTTTAGGGAGTAGTGGCTGAAAGAACGGCCACCGATAGTGGAGCGGAGGGGATTAGGAACAAACAGGAGCCAGCCGAGCGGAGGCAGCAGTTGGTGTAGTGGGGCATAAGCAAATCGGGTAGAGGAGAGAGGTGATATTTGTGAAGAATTTAAACACTTCATAAATCCGGACCTAACCAGTAGACCATAGAGTGAGAGACCACTCTCAGAAATGAGTATATTCTGCCACAATTTCTCTGAAATTATTATCTTAAAGACATATAGGGAAAAAGGGCTTTGGCCCAAAGCATTGGAATGCCGGTTCATGAATTACTGGTTTAGCTTTTTTTGAGTCAACATAGAAATTTTCAGCACAGAAGGAGACCATTATGTCTGTGCACTCCTACCTCTGCTTTTCTCAATTACCATTTCATTATTCCCTCTTTCCAGCTCTTTCCCCACATTTCTTGAATTGGCAATAGTTGAGAACTGACATCCAATCATGGACCAACAATTAATATAATATTATAATATGATATTAATAATAATAGCCCTTGTGAATAAAAAAGCCCTCGTAAATGTCACTGTTTTATGAGTTTAATTCTGTGTTACAGCCTGGGCATTCCAAAAATAGGTAAAAGCAGAGTCTGGGATTGCACAAACGTAAGTATGAAGTATAATGTAGGGAAGTGCAAAGTCATCCACCTAGGTAGCAAAAACAGTAGAGCAGGTTATTTTTTAGAAGGGGAGAGATTGGAATGTGTTAGCGTCCAGAGGGACTTGGGTGTCCTTGTACACCAATCACAGAAAGTTAGTCTGCAGGTGCAGCAAACAATTAGGAAGGCGAACGGTATGTTAGCATTCATTATGAAAGGATTAGATTATAAGAGTAGGGAAGTCTTGCTGCAACTGTATAGGGCCCTGGTGAGACCACACCTGGAATACTGTGTGTAGTTTTGGTCTCCTTATTTAAGGAAAGATGTACTTGCTTGGAGGGGGTACAGCGTAGATTTACTAGGTTAGTACCAGGGATGAAGGGGATGAGTTACGAGGATAGGATGACCAATTTGGGCTTATATTCCCCAGAATATAAAAGAATTAGAGGGGATCTTATAGAAACCTATAAGATCATCAAAGGGCATGATAGAGTAGATAGTGGGAGATTGTTTCCCCTGGTTGGAGAAACTAAAACCAGGGGTCACAACCTTAAAATCAGAGGCCAGCCCTTTTGCACTGAGTTGAGGAAGAACTTCTTCACTCAAAGGGTGGTGAATGTATGGAACTCACTACCCCAAAGGGCTGTTGACGCTCAGTCCTTGAACATATTCAAGACTGAGATAGATAGATTTCTTATTGCAAAAGGGATTAAGGGATATGGGGATAAGGCAGGGTCAGGTTAGTAGCTGGAGTTAGATTAGAAGATCAGCCATGATTAAATGGCAGGGCAGGCTCGAAGGGCCGAATGGCCTACTCCTGCTCCTACATGTTATGTTATGTTATGTTATGTTATGTTATGTTATGTTATGTTATGTTATGTTATGTTATGTAAACACTGCAAAGTAGTCATGTTTAATTCTGAATGTCAGGTCAGTGGCATCAGTCCTCTCTGGGCAAGTTAAGTGGAAATTGGATGTGATGAGGGTTCGCTGCTCTTCAACCCACTCATTTTGGATCTCACTGACAGGTGCAAACTCTTAACTGGAGTAACCATGCTCGCATATTTCCACAATTGGTGAGGTGTCTGAACCCAAATGTTTTGGATCTTTTTTTTAAAATCTTTTTATTTGACTCTAGTCACAAATCCTGTATCTGTATCAAGCTTCACTCTTACCTTGCTTTAACCCATTAGCTTACCTTCGAAAATCTGAAATGAATATTCAAAAATTCTGTTCCAGTGAAAACAGAAGATGAAACGGAAGCTCTGATCTTTGATGGTGCAGAGGTTATTGACATTGGCAATGTGAAAGTTCCCCAGGGCCTCATCTCCCTCAATGACAGTCCCTCATCTTCACAAAGGAGCAGTGAGCAAAGCAGATGCTTGGCAGCCCTGGTGTACCGTAAGTACTCTGACAACTTGTTCTTTTTTTTACACACTGAATTCACTTTGCAGCTTTCAAAATACTCTATACGTTCAGACTTAGCACTAGAGTGCAAATCTACAAATGCCCTTTTCTGAACATTTCCTTTCCTGAATTCTATTGTACAAAGCAAACAGTGGTGCCAAACAATGTTGTCTTTCCCACTTTAGTCATCATTTTCTCCCTATTCAGCTTTCCCAGGGCACGCAGGCAACCAACTTGTTTCTAGGCCTCTCCCAATGCCACTCTTCAACTATAAGATAGGCAAGAGCTGACTGCCTTCCACTCATCCTGGTCCTGCTTTCCATGGTAATTTTCATGGACGGTTTAGTCAAAAATGTTCACCATATGGGGGTCGTTGGGAGGGAGGGAGGGAAAACATTTGTAATTGTAGTACCTCTGCTGCTCATTGGCTTAGATCAGGTAACTGAATTCTGCAAGTGCATGCCGAGTGTCAGTAAATAAAATAGTTCAGTGCTACAGCTACTATAACACAGAAGTGCTGAATTGCAGCAATGCAATTCAGCAGTGCAACTTGCTTTGCACCATTACTTGGTGAATGCAAGTGATTGTTTTTGGAAATTTGGCTGTCCTGAAACTAATAACTAATAACTAAATATGAGGGAATTTATGCAGTACTGCTGTGCGGCCTCTAGATATCAGCAGTACACAGATTTATAAAGTGAAAGTAAAAATTGACAGTGGCCGCACTGTGTTTTCCGTGTGTCACGCACTGTTGCTGTCTGAGAGGAGGAAATCTACAGCCACAAGCCCATACCACATTTTTCACCCCCGTAGAGAAAAGCCCACTGAACCGATCTTGAATGGTCATACAAAATAATCCATTTAGGCAGTTTTACTGATTTTGCTGAATAAATAGGATCTGCAAATGAGAAAAAGTGATAATTAGACACACAAGACACGGCAATGTCATTCCCTCTGTCAAGTGACCAACTCATGACTTTCCTCCTTGGAGCGAGGTAACTGGGATCTTTTTGGAGCTGAACTGGTTCCAAGATGATATGCTAGGTAACAGAATGTCAGAATCGAGCCCACCCTCTGTGGCAGTCTCGGTAGTCCAATTTCTGAGCCAGGCAGATTTGCAGTATTCCAGGGCCCTACTGATGACAGACCAGCCTGGCTTATCGGCAGGACTTGGAAGGACAGGCCAGTCACTGGGGCAGGGACTCTTCCCGCTCAACTCTTGTTAACCCTGCAAGCCACAGCCCTAGCAGGTAGGGTGGTCCTAGCTGAACAAGGAACAGTAAAGCTTGCCAGATTGAAAAACAATCACTTTCTTTAGCTGTTTTAACTTGTGTTTCTTTTCAACATATAGCTTGTGTTTAATGCTTATATTTCCTCGCCCATTTTCTCTCAGCAGAATCCACTGTAACAGTCGTCAAGACAGGGGTCTTCTAACTCGAAATTCGGCACTTCAGTGTTACAGTGACTTTAGCACTGAATTATTTTATTTACTGACACTCTGCATCACAGCTGTCTAAGGGAAAGTATGTTTTGGGTGTCTGCTGCCCCTCATGTACCATTTGAGTAGAGCTTTTGATGGACAGTTACTTTCAATGCAGACTAATTGGGAGCTGGGTTTTTATTTGAATGGTGCATGCCGAGGTTTTGCTGCAGACACAAATTCCACAGTGAAAACTGTATTTAATATTACTTTTTCTAAAAACGAGGATGGTTCCCGATCAGTCTGTGGGAAGACAGACAGTATCGAGATCAAAGCTAGTTAGAAGACATGCCCTACGTATTCCGCCTGTCAAATCAATACTGGGTAGGCACTTCACATCCCCTTCACTAAATCAGCACTCCACAAAGCAGCTCTTCAACTGAGGATTTCTTGAATAGCAGGAAGGTATTTCAGCCCTTATGTATTCCGCATCTTGTACTGACCTCTGTCGTTATCTTCAATGACAGAGCCATAATCAGTGCATGCATTGCACTAAAGAGAGAGCTTTATTTGGGGGGTTACTATGGCGAGGGGGAGAGTGAGGAATGCGGCTTGTGACATTATCACATCAACCGCAAAAAAGTCATCAAAAGCAATCAATAGTTATAATTATCACTGGCCTTGAGGGAATGGGGTTGGCCTGATGCAAAGGCTGCGCACTTTGACATACTGTATGTTTTACAAATGTTGTTGTTTTGCTGATCAAGAGGGTTCAAGGCTAGTGAAAAATGTAGCAGTTTTGTTTTCATAATGAAACCGTTAACCAGGTTTCTTGCAATTGCAGTGAAAAAGACTGGAAGTAACAACCCAGGGGAATGCAGTGCTGCAGAGATCAATCTAACTGATGTAGAAGCTGAAAGCGCTGGTAACCAGGAGCAACCTTTAGCTGACAAAAGGCATGCTGGGATCATTGCTCACCAACTGCACGGATTCCAAACAGGCAAAGGAGAAACATTCGCTCAACCAAACATCCAGATGGACAGACCTGTCAGCGATGATGAAGTGAGATTAAAGAAGAGGAGGCTTCACACAATGGTAAATCATTGCACAAAACCGTATGCACCAAAATAAGCATAAGTACCTCTTCATTCTCTGTTCCAAGCAGTGTACATGCCCTGTTGGTACAACTACTTTGAAATTGCATTCTTTATGTGTTAAACATGTGGCTCTCTGTAGTACCTGCTGCAGTGTTACTGAGTTTGTGGACTGTGGGTGTTTTATTGTTCATTTTGGCAGATCGTTAAAAAATAAGTTGAGAAGACTGTGACCTTTGATCCCGAACTCCCCTCAACCACACAGAGTTTCAGCGATCCATTGAAACAGTGTACTTTGCTCCTAGATGTGTGATGTTATATCCAAATGCAACATCCAACACGGCAGAATAGCAATCAGCCAATCAAATGAAACCAGCAGTTCCCTCCATCTTTTTTACAGAGCATAGCTGAGAAACCAGGCCAGCAGTGGTAATCAGAGGAGGAGACCCAGGCTCTCCTGGCCGACATACAGGGGATAGGAGTGGTGGGGGAGCTGGACTACTGCCGGCAGCACAAATGGCACATTTTTCATCACTGCTCAGGACATCCACCGCTTGCTCCCTCTCTCAGATCTGCACAAGGTGGAAGACAATGAAACAGTTATAGCATAAGGAGAAGGAACGATTTAGCCGAAGTGTCGGAGGCTCTTCCTCCTTCCCATTAGCTGCAGGCAATGGACAACACCCTCGGAAACCAGCCCAGAGTGCCTACTTTAGTGGGCAATCTGGACAGCAGTCTTCACCGGGCCATGGCAACAACCCCAGAGCAGGAACAGGAGTTGTCAGGTACTTACACACCTAATGCATCACTCTTTGTGGGTATTATTAGCCATGGGATTCATGTTAGCGTTTTAATTATTTTTTACTGATTTCATTTTGAACCGTTTTCATTAAGAAACCTGAGGCAAACCCTAGGTGCAGGACACCATCGAGGTGTTAAGTGTATGAGAAAGGACGAGGGAGAACAAGAAATAGTTGTTAGGTTCCCATAATTCTGTTGATTGTCAAAAGAAGGGAAAGCACTAAAGAAAAAAAAGTTCTGCAGTTTTGAGTTTTCGTCAAGTTTGGATGAAATTGTGGGATATATTTTGATTTTAACACAGTGATGGGTTTTAGTTTTTATCACCAATTTTATGTCTACTTCCTTCCCTTCCCCCATTTTGTGGGTAAAAACAATAAAATGTATACTTGCTCTTCCCATCGCCTAATATCCACTGCGGGTGGGGCAGGCAGGTAGGTCGCTCGCTCGTAGACCTCTGGTACTCCTACTCAGAAGGAAATCAACATGATTTGTGTTGAATGTCAGTCAGACATCCTAGAGAAATTGGGAACCATCAACTTCTGCGAGAAGTGGATTATATGAATGAACCCAAGTCCTGCCACTCCATGACCCAGGGCTTTGATACACCAATGTGCTATGTCAGCCGATTGCCCAGGCCTGCTGGGCATGTTCATCATATCATAAAATATTTAGATTGCCATAACTTTAGACATGTACCTAAGGAGCTGATTTAATTACAAATACAGACTGTGGCAGATATGTTTCCATGGCAAATGTTTCTATTCATCTGTTCAGTTCAGGCACTAAATAAAGTTACTTAAATAAGATTACCTATAACATCTTTATCTTGTCCTCGTGGTACTTATGCTTTTAAGTAACATTTGGGTTCAATTGAAATACAGGAGATATAAGGATGTTACCATGACGACCATACATATAGCAGAATCAAGGGTTGATGAATAACTGTATTAATACTTATTTTTCTTCTCAGGACCATAACAGAGCCTGGAGTGTACTCACTGCTATACCTGTGAGCTTCCAGGCACATACTGAGGGGAAAGGAAATCAGTCTTGCTCCCTTTCAGAATCCACCACCTTATGCAAATGGAGCTGTCTTGGGCCCTGAGCCAGTGATCAGGCAGCTGCACTAAGTACAGATAGTAATGTCTGACATCTGGAAGAACTTGGCCTTCACCGAGCCTTGCTGGAACGGGTGGCCGTTGAGAACATGCAGCACCAACAGCAAATAGTGGTGGAGTTGGACTTTGCAAGGCAGATCTCTGACTCTCTCCTCAGAGCTTTTGCTCTTCCAACTCCTACATGGAAAGAGGGCCCTTCCGCTGGCCAGCTTGGTTCTGAGGCAGGCACTAGACATGAAGGAATAGATGTCGAGAGCTAAGCAAGAGAAGTGGCATTTTTCTCTCTTCCATCAGGGTGCAACAGGATGGACCTCAAAACAAAATGTTTCCCCACGCCCAAATAATTTTGATGATGATGTGTTCCTGAAATGTTCCGCCTTGTTTAATAAATCAGTTTGTTTAATACAACATTTTGAATCTTTGTGATATCTTTTGAGTACCAAAAGCTGCAGCTTTTGAACCTTGTGATCAAGGCTTATTGTGAATAGTATCAGCGATGATAATTGTTACATCGAATAACTGCATTTTGTACCCCCCTTTTTTTTTTCTTGACCAGAATTTCATCTGCAGACTTCTAAATCCAAACTTGACATCATGTAAACACTATTTCTTGATTTGATTCTTTTCAAACTTGGTGTCCTGCTTTTTATGTAGAATTTCTTAATAGAAAAAGAAAGATCTTTCTCAATGTCTGTTCTAGTGAAGGGTATGAGAGAATAGTGCTGGTGGTGAAAGGTTAGAATAACTTGTCAATAAATAAGGAAAATATGGTCTGAATCCTTTTCAAAGTGAATCTGATTGAAACCAAGTCAGGCCGGTCTACGTTTTTGTTACGGTCGGACACACTGGATGAGGAGGAAGCTGAGAAATTCATTGTGGGTGTGAGGAAATTGGAGACATTAGCATTAATTTACTGTAAGACAGAGCAATAGGGTCATGGTAGAAAATAAACAGGGAGTAAAATCTGGTGAAAAAACCTTCTGAAATAGCATCAGATTCACACTGAATTTACAGTCAATTCACTTTATAGTAAATTCTGTGAAGCTCTTTAAGTCATCTCGAAGATGTGATAAGGCACTATATCAAATATATATATATATATATACAATGATTATTATTATAGACGGGATCTTGGTTTAACATCTCATCAGAGAAGCAGCACCTCTAACAATGCCTTACTCCCAAGCACTGCACTGGAATGTCAGCCTGGACCATGAGTTCAAATCTCAATGTGATTTGAATCTCAATTCCTACAAAGCAGGAATTGTATTAAAAATCCTATTACTGATTGCATGTTAGAGAATGGGAGAGAATTGCATTCCTTTCATTAAAGCATTGACAGTTTCATACTGAGCACGTATATATGTATGATAATAATCCTTACATCTGCTCGATATGAATGACTAATAAGGAAGCTAATTGAACTTTTGCTTAAACATGCCTTCTAGCATGTCTGTTTAGTGTACTGTACTAAATTGTTGCTGAAATTAGCAAATTGGCTTTTTTATTCAGTAGTATGTTAATGCATCTTGGTTGTGTTTAATCAACTCGTTGAAAATGCTTGTTTTTGGTAATTATTCAAAAGAAACGTTTCAGCATGTTCACTGTAAGGACTAAACGAACAGCAAAATGACCACAAACAGGCTATTTCAACTGCCCTTATCTATCTTTTTGTTTTATCTGGTTGAATTCTATTTTTTCATTGTTTTGAAGGCAGTTTTTGGACCTAATACCCTCTGTCTTCTACTTTTGATTATGAACCATTTACAGAGGCACTGTTGTCTTCAGGGGAAAAACGTGTTTGGTAAATCTTGTTTTTGTTATTTGTTTGTCTAATTCTATTTCTATGATAAGATGATGCAAATCATGTTGACGTGCATAATTGCACTACTTGCACATGACAGGGTTGTGACCAAAGTAATATTCGCCTCATCTGGCTGTTCTGCCTCTGTAAATAAAAATGGTTTGTCAAACAGTACCCTTTATATCGACACAGCATCCTTTAAAATATGCTCCACAAGGCATCAAAGTGATCCTGTGGACAAATGGTGCTGACAGAAGTTTGTTGAAGTGTTTCATGGGAACACTGAATGTAATGTTGTGCTTTTTCCCCCCACTGTAAGTGGACATTAGCCTAAACGCTACACATGGCAGCAAGAGAGATGCCTGAGCAACTGTGTGTATCCCTTCTACAACACATAAACAGCACTCAGAGGATATTTTCATCAAAAGTATTTGATGTTGAAAGAAATTGACACCAGGTCTAGCTATGAAAGGATTGAATTCTATTCTTAAATAGTTCGCTGGTGCTTTTACCGATGTCTGTTTCACTCAGTGGTAGGAAGCAGTGTTTCAGATCACTAAATAAATATGATCCCAATAAAATCTGTTTCCAGCTGCTAGATTTCGTAAGGGCACTGGGAGGAAACGGACTCAAGTTACAAATTAAAAATTCTGAAACCATTTTCTCATTGCAACGAAAAGGTGAGGAGGAAATTAAACTCCGAGCAAGCCCATTCGGGGGACTCAAGTGCAAATAAGTTAATTTGGATATTTTAACAAAATAACTTGAGAATGTACTACAAATGGTTGAAATTTCCAGGGAGTATTGTTCAGCAGAGTAACCAGGGCCGTACCCTGCCAGAAACCTAATACAAAACAAATGACAGCTCTTCTCGTTATAGGCTCTGGCTTCTCTTCAGGTTGCTCTGTAATATAAATATGGGCTGTAGATTAGTCCCCTATATTTGCATTGCAGTAAAATGCAATGTAACATGAAACACTTAAGGCCTAAAATTCCACCCGGTCTTTGTCTGTAAGACCAATTATTGGTATTGGTGTAGAATTATTGAAAATTCTTAAACTCTAGTGTTAATTTGGAAGCTGTCTTTCTTCAATTCCTAAAAAGGAACAACTTCCAAATTAAGACTGAATTTAAGAATTTTCCAAAATTCTGTGTGATCTTAACTTTTCAAGACATAATAATCCAATAGCAGGGGTTATGGAACATGTTGAACATTGTGCAAGGGGGTCAAGTCAAGAAAAATATGATATATTCCTCAGTGGAATTAAACCTCAAAAAGGTTGACTACACATCAATAAACAATTATTGGTTTCATGTTTCCTGCAACTAATAGCCTGGTTTTGTAATTCATTGCTGCTTCTTCCTACAATGGATTTGACATTGAATAACGTCAATATACACATCATGTGATCTCAAGCAGTTTATGCAAAATTTGCCTGAACACCAGCTCCTCTGTTAACGGGAAGACATTCTATTGAAAGTTAAGTAGTTCAGTTGCAAACCATAAGTTGTCCCATCAGTGTTCATCAATAACCTTCTGACCTTTTCATGGCCTTGTTTCATTCCAGTTTGCATAAGCATGTTCTTGCTAGAAATACACAACTTAGACACTCCTGTTCGATCGGCTATTTGATTATTAAAGAGAAAGATAAAGGAAAACTCAGAGCACCTTCAGAAATTATACTTGGTAAATATCTCTTTACAAACAAAGCAAGCAAGCACTGTTATCGGTGCAAACATTTCTTCTTTGACAAAAGCCTCTGGTACTTCTTTTACCACATAGATTTACGTAAATATAGTACAGAGCTTGAACTGTTCCAAAAAATTCTATTCTGATGGCTGGATAGAAACATGAATGGGTGAACTGTCTTCAGTGCTTACTTCAATTCAATGCATTGCTTTTTCTTTTAGATGAGCGCGACTGTTGTGAGGAGATTACCAGGCGAGGATGAAGTGTCTGAGGAGCACTCTGATGATAAGTCTGACACACTGCCCGACAACGTAAGTACTGAATGTTACAGGAAGCAAATCTAAGGTTCAAATCATTGTTACCAGGACCAGGTTACCAGGATGGGTGGTTGAGGCCAAGTCTTTGGACTCCTTTTTAAGAAAAACAGATTGGGGGGGGTGGTGGGATTGCTTTAAGGAAGAGGTAAATTGGGCTAAAGGGCCTTTCTTGTTTGAATCTCTCGTGACCTTTGATGAGTTAATGAAATTGTGTCATGTGACAACCCCAGAGGAGGAGATATTGGGAAGGGGATAAAATGGACAGATCAAAGAGAACTGAGACGAAGTGCCACGAGCATAATTTCATACAAGAAACAAGTGACCGTTTCTTAACGCAAACAGGGTAAATTCTTCTTGCCATTAAATGTCGTAACCTTGATGCTGGGGTGAAGTTCTAATGGGAAAATTTGCAACATTGAGCAGCAAGCGGAATTTCTCACCCCCTAGATGTGAAGCATGAAACCTGTGTAGCTACAATATTAGTGCTGTATTAGGCATTCCAGAAGTGGACTTGGCTTCCGGTAATGACTGTAAAAAATGGATTTGATATAAGGTCAAATATAAGACTCAGGACAGAAGTGATAATTTACATGTTAAAAACTGTAAAAGAGTAATTTAGAGGATCAATAAAAAATAATTTGGAATACAGGGTAAGAAAGTAAAACAGTGGAAGAAAAATAGTTTTTTTTTACAAGATCATTTAAAAGGGTAAAAAGAGGAATAAGAATAATCCAAACCCCCAATAAAATTCATGGATTGGGGGATGGATATCGTAACACAAATCTGTTGAGCTATACTGACGTGTTTAGGCTGAAAAATCACAAGGCTCACAGGAGACTAGATGTCAAAAGAATGAAAAGTCTCACAAATGGAATTGAGTCCCACCACTGTAGTTACTGAATTGTTTTAAGTAGGAGCCTTGCAGACATCTGGTCAAGAAGGGGATTGAAGGCTTTATGTTGATAAATATATTTTTGGATACTCTTATGGAACACTATGATTCCAGTCTGTTGATAAGATGGGAATGTCATCTGTGGAATGCAGCATGTTAATTAATAGCCTAGGGTTTTCACACAATGATCTTTTTAGAACAGGGATAAAGTTTGCAGATTTTTGTCTTGTTGGAACTAGTTTTGTTATTCATCTCCCTCAGAAAATTAAAAGCCCAGGAGAGGTGTATGTCTGTGTGTGGGGGAGTAAGGGGATGGGGGGGTTGTATGTGGGAGGAGAAGTCCTTGAAAATTTAAATTATTTGTAGGAAGGAATTCAGCTAGATTGTTGGGTATCACAAATAATGTCCCTTTTCTCGATTCAAGCCTTTTCTGAAGAAGTAAGTGTATTTTCTTTTTTGTTTATTCAGGCCAGTGAGATATCAGACAGCTCTGAAAATGGTGGGCAGCAATCCTCATTGATGGAAATTCTCAACTATTGTCAAGTAAGAATAATATTCAGCTTGCTTCAAACAGTATCATGCCTTTTGCAATCAAACCTAGTTTCTGTGTCAAATTATTGTAAGGGGCGTTTTGACTGAACGTTGCGTTCGCCTACAAAATAGACAGTCACTACACTTACAGTCTATCATATCATTGTATGGAAGTTTAAAATGTGTTGATCACTTTCCAACTCAGAACGTTTTCTATGATCAAAGTCACATAGACTAATTGCGGACCAAAAATATTCATGAGAAAAAACAAATGCCAGTCGTGCATGATTAATTGTACTTAAGTGTCTTTTATCTAGTGTTTCCTCAAAATTTCTAGAATGCGTGTTGTGGTCTATTAAGCATTGCACTTGCAAATTCAGTTTTACTTTCAGAATGCAAAGTCAAGCTACAGCTTGCAACTCTCCCTCTCACACGATTCTGATTAATTCTCTCATTCATTTTCCTAAGATCCAGTGCATATCTCAAACCATGGCTTGCTGCTTTCCTCCTTCCTACTAGAGTCCTCTCAGGCAGACTAATCTAGGTTATGCTGTGAGGACTTTACATACATCTCATCTGGACACTATATTAAAAAAAACATTAAATGTGATTGAGTCCCTACAGCATTACACAAATATGATTTTGGAAGAACCTCAGTGATATACAGCAGCAATATCACAGACAAGGATTGATCCTAGGCTAAGGGCTTAATTTTAAATTCAGATGATTTTGTTTTTCATATCTATGCCATAACTCTCTCTACAGTTTACATCTGGTTTGGAATTTACGATAATTGGCAAAAGAGTTAATAGGGAGATTAGAAGGAATTATTTTACACAGAGATTTAGGATATGGAATGCCCTGCCGAGGGTGGCAGGTCAGGGCAGAATATATATCAGCTTTCAAGAGAGAATGAGATAGATATCTAAAAAGGAGTACATAAGCAGGTGTATAGGAAAATAGTAATAATCCTTGCATTTAATATAGCACTTTATCACGTCTTTGAGACGTCTCAAAGCGTTTGAAATGGACAGGTAAATGGGACTGAATGGAGTTTTTTTTTGAAGAGCCAGCACAGACACGATGAGCCAAATGGCTTTCTTTCATGCTGTAAATTTCCACGGTTCTATGGATCAAATGTTTTTAAAATCTAATTTCTGATCCTCTCTCAATATCTTTCCAGATCATGTATTCTGCCATCCGTAGATTGGACAAAAAAGTGGAAGTGATGCAAAAGAAAGTGTCTGACCTTCACCAAGGAAAGATGAAATTCTTTGCTAAGAAAGTAAGCTTATGTCTGAAGGTTTCAAGATTTTGTATCTTATTTTTGCTGATCTGCTGTTCTGATACCGAGTCCAAGCTTCTTTGATTATCATCAGTAAAGTTAACAAACTTGCGTTTTACGATTAAACATTAATTGACCGTTGGAAACCACATGACGAACTGTATCTAGACTTCCAAAAGATGTTGTAACACATTCCCACATGAATTCAATAACACAATTCACAAACAAGCAAACAGAATGCTAAGCTATAACGTCAAATTTGTAATGCGTAGGTCCCCAGAAGTCATTCTCCAGCTATATAGTGCTCTGGTCAGGCTGTACCCAGAGTACTACATAAGGGGCTACCAAGAAATAGTGCGGAGGAGCGCAGCAATAATAATACTAATAATCCTTGCATTTGATATAACGCTTTTCACGTCTTCTAGACGTCTCATAGCGCTTCACAGAGTATACTGTAAACAACAACAACAACAACAAGATTCCATTTATAGAGCGCCTTTCACGTCGGGAGGACGTCCCAAGGCACTGTGAAGTGAATTGACTGTATATTTGTGGGCAAAACGTGGCAGCCAATTGCGCACAGCAGTGTCCCACAAACAGTTGTGGATTGAAAATGACCAATTTATTATTGTTTTGTTTTTTGGAGGGATTATTATTAGGCTCTGTGTGGAGTAAGGAAACTTGCCCAAGGTTTCGCCTTGCCTGGAATTAAACCCAGGTGTCTCGCTTGCAAGGCGAGTGCTCGAACCACTGAGCTACAGGACTCCAAGGGAAATTGCGAAAATATTTGCCAAAAATTGAGTGGAAATTTGACAAATTTTGCAGGAAATTGTGGGGGGTTGATAAGTACTATTCAAAGGTGCATTTCCTGCCAACCTACATTTTTTCACTTTATTGATAAAAACTAAACATGAATAAATAACATATATTAGATTGTTGTAAAAAAAATTGTTGATGCTTTCATTAACAGAAACTGGGTGACCCCTTCGGGGGTGGGGGTTGGGGGGGTGGGGGGAGGGATGATGACAAATCAGCGCAGGCCCAAAGAGCCGAATGGTCCGTTTCCACCCTGCACTACATTTGCCTGGAGATCCACCAAACACCCAAGGTCACCAACCTCCTGTGGCCGTGAGCTCACTGTGTTTGTACAGGTTTGTAGCGGAAGAGATTGTTTGTAGCGGAGGAGCTTGTTTGTAGCGGATTCCGCAAGAAAATCTAGTTTCTATTGGCCCATCTTATAATAATAATAATAATGTTAGTTCAGTATTCTGATTTTATAATAATAATAATAATGCTTGCATTTGATATAGCGCCTTATCATGTCTTGTGATGTCTCAAAGCACTTTACAGAATATACTGTAAAGTGAATTGATTGTATATTTTGGGGTGAAACACGGCAGCCAAATGCGCACAGCAATGCCGCCAATTATTATTATTTTTTAAAGGATCATTAGCCCTGGAAAAGTGATCCGCCAATCGACCAACAACCAGGTTCCTACTTTCTGCTAGGTAAACAGAGGTGTGTGGAGTAAGGAAACTTGCCCAAAGTTTCGCCCTGCCCAGGAATCGAACCTAGGTCCTCCCGCTTGCGAGGCAAGTGTCTAACCACTAAACTACAGGACTCCACTGATTAGATAGGCCAGGACTCTTCAGTGTTGAAAGGAGATGCCTCAGAGGAGACCTTGTAGAGATATATAAGATCTTCTTTAGGATTGAGAAAGTAAACTTAGAACAAGACAGCAGAACAAGAGAGCTTTAGAATTGCAAAGAGCAATTTCATGACAGACATCGAGAAATATCTATTTACTCAGAGGGTAATTAAAAACTGGAACAGGTTACCAGGAGACCTAATTGAGACTAGGAACCTAGACTCATTTAAAAACAAGCTTTATGCTGTAGTAGGAGGACGGTAGGTTGTGTTTTCTGGAAGGATAAGATCAAAAGGACTGAAAAGCCTTCTTCATCGAAAACAATCTTGTGTTCTTATTCATTTTGACTCTCTATGTCAGCTAGATATGAATTATGAATGTCACTGAGGAAGAGATTTTGTGCTTGATCATTTTTAATTCAAAGTATAGACTCCTGCTTTTCTACTCACTCTGCTTCCCTGGGCAACACACCAACTGTAAATGACTGTTGAGGCCTGCTCCAAGGTCTTCACTCTAAGCCTTCTGCCAGGAGTGGTGAAAGTGCCTGTGAATGATTATCGCTCTGTAAAGAAATACCTGAACTCGGTGTGTCAATATTGGGGAGATCAGGAATTCACTGATGTAGGTTATTTGTAAAGATGTGCTCTACTATTGGCATTGATAATAACAATAATCTTTGCATTTAACTTCTATATACATGATCAGGAAGTTTGAAACCTCTTCTTCACGAGATTTATTGTAAACTCTAGTGACTTCGTATTTGCAGGCAAATGTGACAACCAATTATCACACAGCCATGAAATTTTTACCTTTTTTTACTTGAAGGATTGTTGGCCTGGACACCAGGAGAAACACCCTTCACTTTTCAAATAGTTTTATAGGATCTTTAACATCCACCTGAACAGTTTTAATGATTCATCGGTTTAACGATTCATCTGAAGGATGACACCTCTTGACAATGCAGCACTCCCCCAGCACTGTATTTAAGTGTCAGTCTAGACTATGAGTTCAAAGTGGCGACGTGGGGCTTGACCCTACAACCATCTGACTCAAAGGCAAGAGTGCTACCACCCATTGATCCCTCAATGCATTGTGCTACCTCCCAGCCAGTAATGTTTTATTTGTCGGTGTGTCCAGCTTTTCTTAGCTCTTTTTGAATTTACAAAATAAGTGAAACCGAAGAAGCAAATTGTGAGTGAATTTCATGAGTCTAATTCTTTCCTTTTCAGCAGAGGTTGAAATCAAATGCGAAACAGGTGTTTAGTAGAAATTAGTCCCCTTTCTGAACTGTTTTCCGGATTACAGAGTAAGTGAGCCCGCAAGTGACAGGAAAACACATTAACAAATACATTGAGGGAATGTGTGGGGGGGTCTGACCCACAATAAACATTCAGGGAAACAGAGGTAACAAAACCACAACAAACCAAGGAAAATAACTGCCTAATTCTGCAATAGTTTAAGAAGCCTTTAGAAGAAAGACAAGAAGTGCAATGGATTGAACCCAGAGAGAAATAGACTCTCACAGAATAAAGATGTTCCTTAAAAAATTGACAGATGGAAGACAGGTGCCTGTTAATAATTAACAACACTCTTTCTTGGCCAAATTCCAGTTGCATTCATAATTAACTCCATTAATACACATTTCCTGTCTATTGAAATCACATAGCTCTTCTACGTGTAATGTAATACAACATCGGAGATCAATGTGCTTGCTTTTCATAAAGCTATATGTAACCTTGTATCCAGTGTTGCCGGAACCCTCAAGTGATAAAGCTTAAAAGTTAGTCTGGTTCACGTTTAGTTGAGAATCAATTGAAAAGCTGACTTTATGTCATCTTGGCTCAGTTGATAGCACTTGCCTCTTTGAGTCAGAAAGTTATAGACTCAATTGAACTTAAAGTTGAGGCTGACTCTCCAGTGTACATTTGGAGGAGTGCTGCATTGGCAGAGGTGCCGTCCTTTGGATGAAACGTTAAGCCAAGGTCTTGTCTGCCTGTTTAGGTGGACATTAAAGATCCAATGGCACTACTCATGAAGAGAAGCATTTCTTTTCCTGGAGGCAGGGCCGAACATTCCTATAAATTTATTTCCTGACCCTTTGGAAAGTCCTTGCAGTGTGCAAATTGGCTGTTATTTTTGTCCACAAATACACAGTTCCCTGTGAAGCTCTTACAGACTTTTCAGCATTTTAGGCCTGATAATCAGGAACAATAAAAGTAGTTATAAGTCATTAACCTTACCGAATAATTTCAAAAACAATACATAGGGGAGCAAAGCCTGTAAACTTGTAATAGTTTCAACCTTTAGATGAGATTGCGGCTCAGATGATATCTGTTTAGTGTCATTTGTTTTGCAACAACACATTACATGGCAGAAACTAATGTCACGTGTATTATTTGAGATGCAATGATGTTCATTCTGAAAGATCAATGGTTATATCATCATTGCTCGTTTATCAAGCCAGACAGTGCTCTCGATGGTAATCTTTGCAGTTTTAGCTGGTTAAACTCCATCAGTACTCCAATGTACACTCTGGGTTCCCCAAGCCTTTGCTCTTGTCAGCCTAAAGCCTAATATTCTCTGGAATTAGGTAAGCAGGATGCATGCTTCCGAGGAGAGAGTGTGCATTTCATTCCGATACATGGAAATTTCCATCTGTAGGTGGGATGCATGGAACTCTCAGGTTGATTTGGATATTCTTAAGCATGGTGATGAATTTCCGGGTATGTCAGACACCCGAAAAGTAAAAACGTACAGTTGCTTACAAGGAAGCAGCACTTATAGGACATATGTTTTTATTCTAGTTTCTAGTCCTGCAGGGAGCCTCATGTACATTAGCCTGACCCAGAGGAAATCATCTCTGATGCATTCTCCAGCCAGAGTTGTGTTTCCACAGTCAGCATTATATTCAAGAGGGTCCATAAAAACGTCTCATGGTTTGTGCTAAGTCGCTTTTCCAGCTTTGAGATATCAATTCCACTTCCGTGTAATGAATTTTCGATACCAATTCCCTCTTTCCTGTTTTTACTGAGATAATTAATGATGGTACTTCCGTTTGAAAGCACCTTAGTGTGTCAAATGTCTCAAAGCATTTTGCTTTGGAGTGTAATGTATCTAGGCAAACATGCAGCTAAGCTGTGCTAATAGTGTCTTACAAACAGCAATGACTGATTTATTTATCTTCTTGTTGAACTTGGAACCTGGAACCTCCTAGTCTGTATAGCTTGGTAACAAGACTGCTGTTGCACTGAGCCATCAAGAATCTTGATTTTTATATTCTACCATCTAACACTAAGTCGATTTTTATCTTAAATAATTTAGAATAAAAAACACACTTACATTACCAACCTTGGCATCTTTGGTGCTTTCAGTACTTTGCTTTATGAGTTGGTTTGGGATAACCTGTGTTGTGGGCTGGTGGAGTGGTTTTGATGATGCAGTTTAATGTAAACAATTCCAGATGTAATGTTGGTTGCCAGCGTATTGCATGAAGCAACTGGTATGAGAGTTACTGTTAACGTCCAATATCTGGTGTTTCAGTGGGAAGCGTTCCCTTCCTTGTTTTATTGACAAATTTGCTAAATCTACCTTTGCCTTTTGACGAGGGACAACATTGAGGGTAGTGCAAACAGAATAATGTAATAAGCTGTTGACGATGCCACGAACAATTCCATCGTGGACACGCTGGCTTAGCTATGGAATGACATTAATTGGATGAATGAGACTTACTGAATACTGAGTTATCTACAAGAACAAGATTACATTTGTATAGCGCCTTTACATAAATCAAACGGAAAGCGACGTAATTTGTTAAGTTTCCACCCATTTGGTAGTTGAAATGTGGAATTCTCTACCACAGACTCTTGTTGAAGTAGAGAGCGCTACTTATTATAAAAGGAAATGAAATAGATGCTTGAAAAAGACAATTATTAAAGAGTACGGGATGCATGCAGGAGAGTTTCCGTCTGTAACATTTTGTGATATGGCTTTGATGGCTTTGATATGGCTTTGATTCCCCCCCCTGTCAATGCCTGCCTCAAGACCTATCTCTTCGACCTGCTTTTGGTCATCTTTCCTCTCCCCACCCCCTTCAGGACCCAGCAGTGTCAAGCCCTTTAAGACGTAATGTGATAGGTACTATAAAAGTTTTATTGTAATCTTTGTGCATGTTAATAGCATTCAATGTGTCTGCTTTTGTTGTAGAGACAAGTCTTGGCTTCTCTTTCCAATGGTTACAATCAGACCTTGAAAAAGAAAACGATTGTGAAATCTTCGGAAAAGAAGAGAAACCAGAGAATATGTTCGGATTCAGTTGCTTACCGTGACCCAGCTGAATGCAGCGAACCAATAGTAATTCAAGATGAAGAAGATGCCACCGGTACAATAGTTAAAAAGAGGCCAAATGCCTCTGTGCCCTTTCACTCCATGGAACAAATTCGTGAAAATCTGATGCCAGTAACTAGTTCAGATGTTTCTGGTCTGGTGCCACAGCTACCAACATTAAAGACCGAGCCTGCAAATCTAAGTCAGAAGCTTGAAACCATGTCCGCTACACACAAAATGAATAGATCCCGTGTCAGCCTTAGTGAAAGTCCACATGACTTTGCAGAGATGGGTACCTCAAGAACCACTCAGATAGAAGAAAATGGTTACATCACTGGTTTAGCAACAGATTTTATCAATGAAACAAATGCGATGAAACAGGAACAGATGACACCCCATGCATCTTTTGACCTTTCGAAGAATAGCTTTGGTAAGCATGAATAGCTTACATTCATTTTTTCAACCACTTTTATTCCTTTCCTTGACTTTCTTCGCAGCCAGAATAAAGAAGATGGTTCGGAAGATGATTTTCTGCATCCTTTTATAAGGATTGCAGAAAACCGCTCCCAAATTATGGATGAATATAAGAATTACTGAGTAATATTGGGTCTCGGATTGTATAAAGCATTGCTAAATCTTTCATGCAGTTCAGAACAAATGCTTTCTTTCCGTTGATTATTTCCAAAAAGGCCACATTGTACTCTCAGTCTGGCTCAGTGTGTAACTATACTCCTATGATTCATTGTGCACATCAGTTGATAAATGAGGTAGCACAACAGTGATTAATGTAGCTTGAAAAGACATATGGACCCCCCCCCCCCTCCCCTCCCACCATCCCCTCAACATATTGGGCCAAAGCGAATTATTAACTTACATTTTTTTCAGCACTGACCTGACTTGTTTTTAACTGTTGAAAATTTGCTCCTTTATTCTGTTCATGTTTTCCACAGATTGTTTTCCCCTTGTCTGATCTGGCAGCTCTGTTGTTCTTCCTCCCCCAAACAGCTGTCAGGCTTTAGTCTATGATGTATTTTGAATGCATCTATTTTACTCACATGCACTTGTGTTCACGCCAAATGGAGCAGGATGGTGAGGCTTTGATCTTTGATCATCGCCAGGTGGCTTCTGCATCCCAACATGAATCGGAGAGTGTACAACACATCATATACTTTTGGAGAATCATGAGATGTCAGAAAGACAGCAAACAGAAAGAGTGAGAGAACGATGATAGCAAAAGAAGGAATTGAGTAGAAGGGAAAGAGGGAAAACCTAATAGAAATTAAGACATGGAAATTACAACGAACAAAGAACTCTGGTTAGACAAGTGGCAATTATCCACATGTCTGTTTATCCACAATGTAGAAGTTTGATATGGGGCTACAAAATTCATCCAAAAAGTCTGATTAGGTGCATGTGGGAGGTTGCGTGTAATCACGTGAGGTAGCAATGGATGCAATTCAATCCTCTCAGTAACTTTGTGCACAACCAGTTCTTTTGCTGCACTGAAGTCAAGTTCTTATATTTACTGTACTTTTATATCATGTTTGGAGAGAGAGCGCGAAAGACACAGAAGAGACAATGAGTGGGAAGGAGATTCAGAGGGGCAGGGTGGGAGAGCGAGAAAGAGAAGGTGATGGTAACTACTTGAGAAGATAATAAAGAATTTTAAGAACAGATGAGAATAGATATTACAAGTGGACATAAGTGTAAATTGGGATAAGGTGCAGTGTATTGACTCAATCATTTCAGGGAGGTGAGGTGGTTTATTTTAATATATATAATATGACTCATTATTATCTTGCATTTATGAAGCATGTTTGCTGGTGAATTGTAATGTAAATCAGAGCTGAGCCAGCCACTGTGAATTGTACTTAAGCAGGTGGTTTCAGGAGTAGTGCGGTTCACACCCACTGCAATATAAACATAGCGCAAATCATATTGGACATGGACAATGGAGAGCACAAAATTTTTCAAGGGACCATTTTTAATATTATTAAAGAGCTGATTTTCCAACCGACTATTGTAGCATCAAAGAAGTATAATTCAGACTTCCTGCTCCATATTGAAATCTGCTGGAGCAAAGCGGCTTTGCTCCTGGTGGTATAAACACAGACAACTTGGATTCTAAGTAACTACCATTGCACAATTTATGCTGTGCTTCTTTTCTTCCCTATGTTAGCTGCACCTGAATTTCCCACTATTGGTAAACCCTTTGTTAGCTATAAGAGTGAAACAATCTTTGTAGACTTTTCATAGCCTCCACTCTTTGATCTATCAGCAGAAGGTGTGTTTCTGTGAGGAGAAACCTACTGATACGAAAAGCTAGATCCAGCATTTTGATTAAGAACTACTGCAAATCAACACAGCAATTCGAACATGATCTCTTTAAATGGGATATCCTAGAATACTTCTAGAATGGTAGATAGTGTCTTTGAGAGAGGGTAAATTATTAAATAAAGAAACTTTGGAATATAATTTGTGGGAAGCCTGAAAATAAATTGACTATAACAGTGCAGTACACTGTGGGTTTTATCTGGGATTCTCGAACCTGTGAGTTTCTGATACAGTATCAGCTGTTTCTTTGCAGGAGATATTTCCTCCTAGAGAGGCAGGGTCACCCCAGGACCATTGCACGCATCTCTGGTTGGCTGGTGGAAGTGACGAAATTTGAGAGCAATTTTTTTTTGTCAGGCGGGAGGGACTCATCCTGCTTATCGAATTCCAGAAAATATTAGGCTGGCAGCTTGGCAAGAGCCAAGGCTTGGGGACCCCAGAGGGTGAGTTGGATGCCAACTCTGCGTATTGCTTGCGAGCAGATCATCTGCTTGCCTTCTGAGCAGGGAATCAGATATGGCCCTGAGAGAGCTAGATATGCAAATTCCAAAGAAAATGATAACCATATAATTGAATTTGCAATAACATTTACCATTGGAAAACAAAGAAGGAAAGTACCTTGAAGTAAGAACATAGAACATAAGACCGTAAGAAATGCGAGACGAAAAAAGACCGAGGTCCATCTAATTCGCCTTCCACCTCCCTATGCAAAGTGTTTACCAAAGTTGGATGGATAGGATTAATAAAGCAGTAAACCAAGATCATTCGAATGCTGTTCAATTAAGACTTCTTCAGCAGGAGGTAGTAGTTCCCAGATTACCTTTGTTAGTTATTTTCTGAGCAACATTCAACATTATGCTTGTCCCTGTAAGCCTGAGAAACAAAAGCCTTTTTCTTTAATGATACTGCTTTAGTTATTGACTCAAGGTCCATCATCTATTATTTTGCTGTCAGTTTGTCTCCAACAACTGTTATGGATGACTAATGTTGAGCCTTTCCTGAAACTGTTGGTCATTCTTCTTATCCTTTGGGCCATGATTTCATATTATGCATTTCCTGCCAACACTTCGCAGGAAAGTAAGAATTGCTTGTGGAGCTGATATGGTACGGACAGGCTCATAAGCAGGTTTGGTTACTTTCCACTATCGATTTAGAATGGTGAAGAATTCCATCAAGTCTCTCTTGCAGAGATTGAGGACAATGAACTTGTAAGGAAACATTAAAAATGCTTCTCTTCTCTTGACCATCAATAGAAAATGAAACCAGTCAAGTTACATTGAGCGATTAGGGAGGCATTACAACAACTTGCAGTTATGTAGCGCCCTTCACCCTGGATTAGTGTCGCAGATGCGTTCAACAGTGGCAGACCCTGATACCAAGCCAGGGGGAGGGAGAAAGTGACCGTAAGTACAGTCGAAGAGGTGGAAAGGGGAAGAAGAGGGCAAAGCAGAGGGATTGAGGCTCAAGGTCCAAACTGCCATACATGTCAAAGATGGGTAGATGTTTTGCAATTCTATTAAGTCACCACTTATCAGCTGTAGGGACAACATCAGCCAGACAGGCAGGCAGGACATAAGTGAACCAGGAGTCAAGTGAAGAAGTAGAGAGGGTAGATTTGGGTGTAATCAGTATACATGTATTTTTATGCTGTTATGTCATTGTGTGTAATATTTTAATGAATGTCTCACCAATATACAGTCTATTTAAAGGCTGAATCATAGTTCTGCTAGTTCAGTATTCTAAGTTTATAATAATAATAATAATCCTTGCATTTGATATAGCGTCTCATCATGTCGTTGAGACGTCTCAAAGCACTTCACAGAATATACTGTAAAGTGAATTGACTGTATATTTTGTGGACAAAACACAGAAACACTACATATCACTCAATATGTCGGACAGCAGTGTCTTATATATTGAGTGACCAGATTATTATTTTTTTTGAAGGGATTATTACCTCCAGAAAGCGATCCGTCAATCCACTAACAACTGGGTACCTACTTACTGCTAGGTAAACAGAGGCGTGTGGAGCAAGGAAACTTGCTTAATGTTTCGCCCACTGGTTTACATCTGATGCTGATCTGTCTCTGGTTTACATCTGATGCTGATCTGTCTCAGGTTTACCCACAACAATCTTGGCAAATCACCAAGGATTTCTTGTCTGAGATTGTTTGCTTTGCACTGTGAGCAGTCTGCAGAGTTTATTGTGTTAATTGCTGCAGCATTTATATTGCAGTGCTACTGTTATCAATGTAAATGGAGTGGTTTTGTAACCTCCAGAGGTAGGGAAAATCTTGTCCCAAAATGCATCTCGTCCCTGCCTCTGGAGGCAATATCACCCGACAGAAGGGTAAGCAGTTGCTCATCACCCCTCCCCCTTTGGCTATTTCTGTGCAGGGATCGGTAAAGGTCCACACTCATTAAATACAAGTCGCGACTTGGAATCACGTCTGTGCATGTGGATTTGTTTGGGTGGTGCCAGCAGTGCATTCGATTCTGCATCACGGAATAAATGGGGTGAACATCAACAGCCTTAGGGAACTTTAGAACAGGTTCAATTTGAAACATGTCCGAAATGAACATGTCATCTCATCCATGGGCTAAAATTCCACTTGGGCCTAGGTTACTCGATTAATGTAGCATTTCAGACAGCACAGAATTTGACAAAGTCCGGACTCTCCGAAATGTTGGGTTAATAGAGTGAATCTGTAGCCAGGTGGAATTTCTGCCAGCAGTGTGTTGAAAGCTAGAAGTGTTTGTACGCAATCATTGTTTAAATCAGGTATTAATGCAAAACCTTCAAGGCAAACTAGCCTTAACTGACCTTAATTATTATCCCAAAAATTGAGTTTCATAGAATTATAAATTTACAGTATATCAAAACTCTTCAAAATTTCAAATACCTCTAACATATCTCTTCTTTGTTCCAGTGGAAACATCACCATTTTCTCCACTCACTCCTCATAATTAATAATAATAAGCTTGCATTTGATGTAGCGCCTTGTCACAATATTGTCACAACACTGAGACAACTCAAAGTGCTTCTGTAAGTGGCCATTTCGCCTTACATTCTTAGTCTCATTTTAGTAAATTTTCTCATATCTTCTCCGTTTACTTGCTGAGACAATTGAAGGCAATTGAGAATGGAGCACAAAGGCAATTGAAAGTGAGGATAAGAATCTTGAATTTGATCCGATGGTGGATATAATGCCAGTGGAGCTGAGGGAGGATGGGGGTGCTGGGCTCACGAAGCCTTGTGTGGCTAAAGACCGCCTAAAGGCCTTCCTTTTTGATTGTGCTTACGGTCACCTCCCAACTCCCTCTACCTTGGCTCGTTGTCAGACTCTGCCACTGTGAAGGGTTTTGTTCATATAGAAAGGGTGATCTTAAGTGGATGATGATCTTTTGAAATTTATCTTGCTTTTTCCCTTTTATTCTCTGCAGGATTTCTGGGCAATCCCAAGCGTAACGTTAGAATACCGGGGGCGTTCATACTGAAAGCTAGTCAGAAGAGTCAGCCCAAACTGGCAGCACGTTACTTGGTTAGGAACTTGTTCACTGATGAAATTCTAGTGGAGAGCAGCGTCATTGGAAGCGAGGAGCAAGGACTCATTCCACTGGATCCAAATAAACTGGCAGCTGTGAGAGGTAATCCAATGTTTAGATGTTGCTAATGGAATGACAAGACTTCTTCAATGTCAGACAAGTTCTCTATTATCAAAGACCCATAATTCTAGAGCAATTCCAGTTAACCTAAGTCCTACAGTTTAACCCATTTTAACAACTACCCAGACATCCTTAAAAGAGGGCTGGGTATTGTTACAATACAATACAATTTGCATTTATACACTATAGACTTCGGAAGAACATCTCAAAGCACTTAACACTGTCGGTTGGATACTCAAGCTGAGGGTGGGAGCCGAAGTGGGTGGGAAGTGGAAGATGACCAAAGACACGGGAAACGAGGAGAAGGAGGGAGCGAATTGGAGGGTCTCCGGGATGGAGCTCTCGAGAGGGGCAGATTGTCTGAAGGTCCACCTGCCAATGGTGGAGTGGAGGACATGAAGCAGGTCGTTGTTTGTTGAGCAAAAAGATTGTTGACGATAGGTAAATATGGTATATGGGATGTTCGCTTCCAACCCCATCTTGGGTGCTAATCCTCCACTGTCCAACCTATTGGGACATCTTCCCAACATAAAAGCTGCTATATAAATGTAATTTGTTGTTGTTGTTGTATCACCAAAACTTTTAAATGCCGATTTGTTGAAGATTGCCTGTGGCTCAGTAAATGCACCATGTGTGTTTATACATTCTGTTCGTGTTACATACATTGCCTTTTGTGATGTCGGCGACTAATGCGATTGCCCATTATAGTTATTACCATTTACTGTTATTTTCATCAGATTTTAACTCTTCCAATAGCTCCATTGTTAAAGCCACTGTCTACTGTGAGCCATAAAGAACAGGAAGGTTCCAGGTGCAAACCCTGACGTGTGCTGAGTTACCTGATCCCAGCAGGAGTGACATCGAGGTGCTACAGCTGTCCTACTATCTCTAAGCCCGGGAAAGGATAGTTAGTCGATGTTCCCACTCCTGCTGATTGCTATTAAGTGATTGCTACTGGAAAGTGTACATGTGTGTAGCGTGTCAGGTGAGAAAAGGATTTGGCTCAGCTATGTTGAACCTTCATGGTCCAATAGCCTGTCAACACTAAAGATTTGGGCTCACACTTGATGAATGGCCACTTCAGTAAGGTACTGGAGGCTGCCAGGCAGCAATGGAACTATAGCCCAGCATGAAGCACTGTCTTTGGGGAACGATGAAAATTGAAGGTATGCAAAGACAATGGAATGAGTCATTAGTAATAGTTATTTGTTGCCAGATTTTGAAATGGAATGTGGATAGTGAAAATGGGATCTAATTTGAGACGTTCGCTGAGCATCTATAAATGAATGTAATTAATAATCAATTATCTGGACATGTTTTCATTGGTTATTAACTACATGACTAAGGGGACTTGTAATTCCTTATGTATACATAGGTTTATATATGGTTAGCACAACTCCCAAATTGGAGCCCAGTCGATCTTCCAGTCACTACTGCAAATTTGACTAATTACATACTAGACTGCAGAAACTCTGCTCCTTCTCAAACCCAGATGGAATTCTTTGACATTCAAGGTTAAGTCTTCCAAATAAAATTTTCAAGCAAAGCATAAGCAAAGTTCTTCCAAAACATAACTTCTTTATTTCAATCGCTCCTTTCTTTTCATGTCACAGTTACTATGGAGCTTCTTCCTATTGGGAAATCATCATAATAATATTAACAATCCTTGCATTTAATATAACACCTTTCACGTCAGGAGGAGGACATCCCAAGGTGCTTCACGGAATACACCTCAAAGTGCAGTGACTGTGTTTTGTGGGTGAATATGACAGCCAAATTGCACACAGCAATGTCCCACAACGGTCACGAAGTGAATAACCAATTTTATTTGAGGGCTTTGTGGCCAGGATACTTGGAAAGAGGTGTCTTTCCCTTCTCTTTTCGAATAATTCCATGTGATCTTTCATGTCCACCTGGTTAGGCAGACAGTTTAATGTCTCATGAAGGACGGACATGCCAATTGATTGGCATGAGCACAATCAATGCCGCTTTGCAGCAAGAATTTCAGTATTAGCAGGTTAAATCAGCTGGGCAAATTCTTCCCCTGCTCCCACTAGAGTGCAACACTTCTGTATGTTTCTGAACTGGCGTACCAACAACAACAAATTTATATTTGTAAAGCACCTTTCATGTCGGGAGGATGTCCCAAGGCGTTGAAAGTCAGGGATCAGGACCCGAGCGTGGGGGGCAGGGTTGGGATGAGGGAGGGCAGAGGGAGTACGAGGGCGGCTGAAGGCACGGTCAAAAAGGATGATCTTGGGTCGTGCCTTGAAGGAGGCAAGGGAAGGAGCAAGGTGAAGGGGTTGTGGGATGGAGTTCCAAAGAGTGGGGGCAGAGAGGCTGAAAGCCTGGCCGCGGATGGTAGGTCTGGTCGGGCAGGAGACATGAAGCAGACCGGAGCCTGCTGAACGGAGGGAGTGGAAAGGTTGAAAGGGGGTTAGCAGTCAGAGATGTAGGAGGGAGCAAGGCCGTGGAGGACCTTGAAAGTGAGAATAAGGATATTGAATTCTGTCTTCTGAGGGATGGGGAGCCAGTGGAGCTGGGCGAGGTTGGGGGTGATGGGGTTACGGAGCCTGGTGCGGGAGAGGTCATGAGCTGCAGAGTTCTGGACGATCTGCAGCTTGTGGGGGGAAGAGTCAGGGAGGTCCATAAGGAGGGAGTTTCCGTAGTCGAGCCTTGAGGTGATGAATGCGTGTATGAGGGTTTCGGCGGGGTGAGGGGTGAGGGGGCAGTGGCGGAGTCGGGCAATGTTGTGGAGGTGGGGGAAGTCAGAGCGGGTCATGGCCAGATATGGGGTTGAAAGGGCAATTGAGGGTCGAACAAGATGACCTACTCATGCCTTAACTCACTCATGCTGTCTGTGAAGTATTGTTGTGCGCAAATGTGGTGGTAGCCTTAAGCACTTGGCATTCAAAGGCTGCAGCTGCAACTAAAAAATGCACATGTGGATGGATTAACAAAAGAGAGTGAATTATGGGTCATATAGATCAATACTATAAATCTTGTGCAATGGATTATGGTTATTTATTCTGCAAAACAATCCACACAAGGCAGAGGCTTTCAACCTACACTGGTATCAAGTATTTAATGCAGTAAAGTTTGAAAGTCTGTGCAAGATTGCATTTATCGGCTATTTTACTGTTCAGCAATAAATGTATTGATTAACCAGCATCTTATAAACTGCTTTCATTGTTCATTGGAATTCAGGTAAATAAGGAATGTACATGAAACTGAAAATATCAACATAAATGCAGATCTGTTCAGAAATTAAAGAGTCTCTCCGTCAAATCAGCAGGACCTCCGAATGCCTTTGCCTTTGTTTGTAGAATTTTGAGGTCCCTGTAAATTAATTGTGAACATCTGTAACCTGCACATTTGTTGTTCCACAGAGTTCTTAAGCAAACAGTTCCCTCACCATGATCTTACAGAGCTCGGTAAGGACTGGAAGTCCTGCATCTCAGCCATCAACAGCATGATCAGCATCACAAGGAGAAGAACTGTGAGTTCCTGTAATTCTGAATCAATTATCTCTGGGGTGAGGTATTCATGTGCATTCAGAATTGGAACACTAAAAACACACATCAGGGTTTGCTAAACTCATTACTATGGATGTGAATGGAATGACATAAACACTCACGTGAAACTATCATTTTGTAAATCATTGTAACTCCATAGTGCATGAGTGTTTAAGCCCTCTGAGATGTTATCTTATGTGAAAGGTGGTATAGAAATGCAAATGCTTGTGGTTCAGTGAAATTGCTAAAAAAAATGAATAAGTGAATGAATTTAATCCTAGCCTCTATTACCCTGTATGGTACAATATAATGCACATCGGGAACAGCTCCCATGGTGCTTAACAGTGCTGGCTTGGCACCCAAGCTGCGTGTAGGACTCGGGTGCTGTGGGGAGGGGAAAGATGATTTGAAAGCGTGATCAAACACATTGGTTTTGAGGAGGAACTTGAACGAGGTGAATGACTGAGTGGAAACCCATTCCTATTGTTGTTTGCCCACAGAATGGAAACTGCTGTGGTCAAGGTCACAAATAACATCCTGACCATATGTGACCAGGGCTCCCTCTGCCTCCTCGTCCTCTCTGCCGCCTTTGACACCGTGGACCACTCAATCCTCCTCCACTGCCTCTCCTCCCACCTCAACCTTCAAGGTTCAGTCCTTGACTGGTTCAGGTCCTACCTTTCACACCGCCTCCACTTCGTCATGGCAAACGGTTTCTCCTACAGCCCCCGCACCGTCTTGTGCGGTGTTCCTTAGGGCTCTGTCCTTGGTCCCCTCCTCTACATGCTCCCAGCATCATTTAGTGACATCATCCGCAGACATGGGATAAATTTCCATATGTATGCAGATGACACCCAACTCTACCTCTCTGCCTCCACCCTGAACTCCAGGACTACTGGCGTACTGATCACTGCCTGTCCGCCATCGTCCTGGACGAGGGCCAACTTTCTCCAACTCAACGTCAGCAAGACCGAGGTCCTCCTGATTGGCTCGCGCTAGCGCTTCCGCACCTCAGGCACTGGCAGCATCAGACTCCACAGCTGCACACTCAACCTCACTAAGCCAGTCAGGAACCTGGGTGTCTTGTTTGACTCTGAACTGTCCTTTCTCCCCCACATCCGCATCATGACTGGCACTGCCTACCACCACCTTCGCAACATTGACAGACTCCACCACTGCCTCACCCCTCAGGCTGCCAAAACCCTCACCTACGCATTCATTACATCAAGGCTCAATTACAGGAACTCCCTCCTCATCGGCCTTCCCAACTCTTCCTTTCACAAGCTGCAAATCATCCAAAACTCTGCAGCTTGTGTACTCTCGCGCACCAGGCTCCGTGACCCCATCACTCCCACCCTCGCCCGACTCCACTGGCTCCCCATTCCCCAGAGGATCGAGTTCAAGATCCTCGTCCTCACTTTTAAGGCCATCCATGGCTTTGCCCCCTCCTACCTCTCTGACCTGCTGACTCCCTACCAACCTGCCCTCTCCCTCCGTTCAGTGGGCTCTGGCCTGCTCCACGTCTCCCACCCGACCCGACCTACCATCGATTGCTGGGCTTTCAGCCTCTCTGCCCCCACACTCTGGAACCCCATCTCACGGTCCCTCCGCCTCGCTTCCTCCCTTGCATCCTTTAAGGCCGGTCTCAAGACCCTTCACTTTGACCGTGTCTTTGGCCTCTGTTCCACCTCTCTGCCTTCCCTCACCCCTACACTACCCCTCCTCCATGCTCGGGCCCCAACATCCGACTGTTCAATGCTTTGGGATGTCCTCCCGAAGTGAAAGTCGCTCTACAAATGTAATTTTTGTTGTTGTTGTTGTTGTCGTTGTTTGCATTCAATGGAAAGAAATCCTTGCTTGTATATTCGCTCAGCTTCAGAGGGAAACACAGGTCTTGAAATATCGACAGCACTTGTACCAACTACATTTGTAGGAAAGCAGATGCCATTTTTTTTTAGCTCCTATTGATTTGTAGAGCTGAAGCTCTTCCAAAACCCCTTTGTCTTGATTCTCCGTCCCTATCTTTAAAACACAGTTAAAAACATCTTTACTTTTCTCAGTGCTTTTGTTCAACATCCTTAAATTCCCCTTTTTCACTGCTGAATGCTTTATGTTGTATCTATAAAATGCTTTGAAACAATTACCCTACGTGAAAGGTGGTATACAAGTAAAAGTTGCGATTTCGGTGTCAGCCTGGCTCCATTGGTAATCCTTTTGTCTGAGTCAAAAGGTTGTGGTATCAAGCCCCAACTCAAGGCTTTGAACTCACTGTCTAGGCTGACACCCAAGTGCACTGTTGGGGGTGCACTGCATTGTTGGAGGTGCCTTCCTTTGGATGAGGCATTAAACTGAGGTCTGGTCTGCCTCTTCAGGTGGATGTTAAAGATCCCATGGTACTATTTAATGATAATAATAATATTCCTTGCATTTGATATAGCTCCTTATCACATCTTCGAGACATCTCAGTGCTTCACAGAATATACTGTAAAGTGAATTGACTGTATATTTTGTGAGTGAAACGCAGCAGCCGATTGCGCACAGCAGTAATTTGAAAAGAGAAGGGACTTTCTTCTGTTGTCCTGGCAAACAATCCCCCAGATAAAATCAGTCATTCACATCATGGCTGTTTGTGGAAATTGGCTGCTACATTTGCCTACAAATACCGTTACATTACTTTACAGCAAATACCCTGTGAAGCCCTTTGAGACATATCAATGAAGTGATAAGCTGCTACATCAAATGCATGTATTATTATTATAATAGATTTTAAGGACCCTTCAGGCAGAAACCGAAATAACCATATTGTTTTTCATACCAGAATACAGGTTCATATCAGGACAGAGAATATTTATCTGATGAAGAGACATCAGCCCCAGTACTCTCCCCTTCCACCTCCGAACCTTCTGTAAACGGTCAGCTCTGGTGGCTCTATCAGAACTCAACACCACTGCCTTCTGCACCAAACCAAAGACCATTTGAGAAATTAGGTAGGAATAATATTCATTCTTCTCCACTCCTGCAAAAGTACCTAGTGGGTCAAGAAAATAACCAACAGAAAGTATTATCTAAAGCATGACATGCAGACTTTTATTTAGATCTCTGTTTATTGGTTCAATGAAAAAATAATAACACTGATAATGTTTTTTTAAAAAAGCAACAGGCATAAGAGGGTACAAGTTCAGGGCTGTGAGGGGTATGAACAAGCTGTTGGCAATAGCAATAGCACTGTGTTGCAGCTCGAGTAATTTTTAGACTGTAATAGACTTCCATTACAGGGGGACATAGTCTTAAAATCAGAACCAACAAGGTTAGAACTGAGATCAAGAAGTACCCAAACAACTACTACTGCATTGAATATCAGCCTAGACTATGATCTCAAGTCTCAATATGGGTCTTGAACCCACAACCTTTTCAGAGGTAAGTGTGTTACCAGGCTGAAAGCTAAAGTTGCAGTGTTCCCGATGTAACCATAGATACAGAAGAGCAGATTCCAAGTAGAAAGGTGTGATTAATACTAATACTAATGGCCTTGACTTGTCAGGCACTCTTAACGAGACCCAGTCCTGAGGGCCTCATTACCCTCACTGGGCCAGTAATGCATCCCTGAATAATCTGTCTGAGTCATCACCATGCACATGAAAGAATCAATAACACAGTTCCATTCTTCATGTTAAGATACAATTGTCCAACAGGAACGTGAAATGCAAATATGATAAAGACATGAACTATTTTGACACCAGCCTCCCCCATCATAATGTGCCAATAACAATACACAAGGGGGGCATTTTTGCTATTTTGGTGAGATTTGCAACGATGTATAACTGGGTCAGTCACCCCCTTTGAAAAGGCATTCAGAAAAAAAAACAGCATTCATTTAACAGCACGTTAAACTGTTCTTGCTAATGTGAGTCATTATTGCCATCAAGCGAATGATTTTGTAGATGGTACTGTTTCTATCAACTAAACTCATTTTATTAATTAATTTTCTAAATAAAATTGGTCATTCATTTCACAGCTGTTTGTGGGACATTGCCGTGTGCAAATTGGCTTCAGGTTCACCTACAAAACACAAAATTACTACATTTTGCAGTATATCCTGTTTTACAACATTCTCCTCATGTGAACAGCACTATACCAAATGTAAACATTATTATTAAGCAGTGAAAGTTTGTTTTCTGTAACCCCAATTTTCATTTTCCAAATTACAAATGAAAGCGCAGGATCTATAAGGAGTCAATTTGATCTTTGTAAAAATGTGCGGTTAATCCTTGAAAAGTGCCTGTGGCTAATTTTCACACAGCGTTTCCAGCTACACAAACAGTACTTGTGATCAGACAAAAGAACATTTAATGTGCAAATAACAAGATCCAGGAGAGGTGACAGGACATTTACAGAGCAACAGAGGCCCAACATTTTTAATTGTATTAAAATTTAACATTGTGCAACATTTTGGAATATTCTTAAATACAAACTTGCTTTGAAGCTGATTTTCCTCAAATCTTAGAAAGGGCTGTGAAAAAAACATCTTCCATGTGATATGTTTTTTTTGGCAATATTACAGCGTAAAAGGAATATGGAATACACTGAATATTGAAATTCCAGAGATATTCTGGACCCACTGCTCCATGTAGCAAATGACTGAAGTTCACAGTGCTGTTCCCTTCCATTCTGCTAAGTGTGCCTTTCTTTTTGCTATTGAACTTATAAACAACGAATCATATTTTATGCTTGTTAATTATTTTACATTTAAAATGTAATTTCACATTGGAATGTTAATTGACTAATTGGGCACATTCTGACATGCAAACAGTGGTATAGAAAGGCTGGCCCAAATATGAGTGGGAGGAAGCTGGTCTGGTTTCAAGCAGGAACCAAAGGGAGAAGGGATAAAGATATCTCCCAGGCTACTTCCCTGTCTGAAAAGTTCATTTGCTAGCAGGCTGTGAATATTGTTAACACTAGCAAAGAAGTGAAACTAAGCTTACATAAGATCAACAGTGGCAACAAGGAGACTAAGAATGTAAATGTCACCAGTGGTGGTGGTGGTGTCTCCTGAGGTTGGAGCTGAGGCATAGTAATGTCAGTGTAATGATCACTAAAGGATTTTCCTTAGTGACATCAGGCCATTTTCAGTCACTTGTTTTGCTCTTGTCAGCCTGGCTTAGTTTCTAGCTCTCACCTCTGGTTGTGGAGTCCGATTGCCATATACGCCCGTGTCCAGGCTGACACTGGGAGGCAGAACTTGGGGTGCATTCCTAGATACAATATTTCCCTAGGTCCTGCCTGCCTGTTCAAGGGGATGTTGGTAAACCCGTTAACATTATTCAAAAATAGAAAGGAGTTTCACCCATTGCCTTGACCAACAATCCTCCAAACAGATTTCCTCTTTCACTTCACTCCTTCTCATGACATCTTACTGATTGAAAAATGGCTGCTGCATTAGCCAACCCAAACACTCTCTACACTTGCAATAATTGTGTAACGTGCTTTTGTGACGTTTCTACACGATAAAACACTATGTACTAAAAGTCTCCTCTCTCTCTGTCCTCTCCCGTATGACGTTTGGATGGACTGCAGGACGCCATCATTAAACAAACAAAATCAGTCTGTATAAGCCATTGCTTTAGCAGGTTATTCATTCGGTTTTGTTTACCCCAAGCACAGGCTGCATTGACAGCCTTTTATAAATCATATATGCCAGTTTAGTCCCAGTGAGACAGACCTGAGAATGTACAGGACTCAGGTATATTTCCAGGTCTGGCTCCTCGGATACCACTCGGTGAAGCTGAATCGAGTTCCAGTTTAAACCCAGAATGGATCTTAAGGAGAGACAACATGAAAGAAATTGTGGACCCTCTAAAAGCTATTCAATTGTTGATCGAAACGTTTGGAATTTCCACTAACCTGCAAATAAAATTGATACAGGGCACCATTAATACACTTTCTCTCCTCCCCCCGCCAGTGAATGGGCATATTAAGAATTCTTTGGCTTTGGAACTATATTAGTGGGACGAAGAGGAGGTTTTAATTTGAATTAAAAGAACTGCTACAACTATGATGAGTCTCCAACTTTATATCTAAATTTCCCCTGTTTTCATGGATACAAAGTGTTTCTGAGTGTAATTTTAAATTGTTAATTATACATGCATTATAGTCACAAAATCACAACTTGTTTTGCTGACAATGTCAATGGGCGGGTTCTCTCTGTGAAATCAAACACATCTTAAAATGTGCACTTCCTTGCCTATTTCACAACTTGGAAAATGTACAGTACATAATTCCAATCTTGTTTTCTTTGCTTGCATAATAATGGAGGGATTTGCTAGCTGATTCGACACTTAATAAAGAAAGCACTGTGCCCAACCATGTCAGAATTCTGTAATTATCACAAATACAGAATAGTAAATGACCACAATTTATCCCTCATCTTTCTCTGAAACCGAGATATACACGTTTCTTTTAAATTTAAATTCGATATTAAAAAGTTGGTTACATGTTTAATTACAGCCTTTCTTCACGTCACTAAGCTAAGAAGTCTAGTAAACTGTGAGTATCACTTAATAGCAAAGCATAAGATGATAATAACAATAATAATTATTGTATTTGATATAGAACCTTGTCACATTGTCAAAATGTCTCAAAGTGCTTCAGAAGATTTACTGTAAAGTTGACTGTGTATTTTTAAGCGAATGCGACAGCCAACAATGGGATGGTGTTGTTGTACATTTCCTACACGACAACAACTTGCATTTATTTAGTGCTCTTTGTGTAGGATAGTGTCCTGTAATATAATATAGTACAACAAGTCCTATAGTATAGCATAATACTATGGTATAATAGATATCAGGAATCACTACCAGAGGTGTGAAAGTTTGCATCAAATTCATTGAGACGTGCACAAAATTAAAGATGCAGTATACTCTCTAAACCTGTGCGCACCTTAGGCATCAGGATTGATCCCCAGTTATCCTTCCTGCCCCACATCCAGTCCCTGGCCAGGACTGCTTTCCTCCACCTTCGCCACATTGCCCATCTCCAACAATCCTCACTCCACAAGCTGCTGAAACCCTTGGCCATGCCTTCATCACCTCTTGGCTGGACTACTATAACACCCTCCTCCCCTCCTCCACTATTCACAAAATCCAGCTCATCCAAAACTCTGCCGCCCGCATTCTCACCCGCACCCCAATTACCCCAGTCCTTGTCAAACTCCACTGGTTCCCTGTCACAGAGCGGATGAACTTCAAGATCTTCACCCTCGTGTTTAAATCCCTCCACGCCTTGGCACCCCGCCTATCTCTCCAACCTCCTCTCTCCTCACAGCACTACCCGCTGCTTCCTCTCTACTGGCTTCAGCCTCCTCCTTGTCCCTCGAATCCTTCGCTCCACCATCGGTGACCATGCCTTCAGCCACTACGAAGCAATGGAACTCCCTCCCTCAATCCCTTCACCTTGCCCCCTCTTTCCACATTTTCAGGTTGCGCCTGAAGACCTTCCTTTTTGACCATGCCTATGGTCACCTTCACCCTCCCCCTGACTCGGCCTTGGGCTCCGACATTGTGAAGCACGATGGGACCCCGCGCGGCGTGGAGGGTGCTGTATACATGCAAGTCGTTGTTGTTGTTGCATAAAGTCATTTCTAAATCCATTCAGAGCAAATCACAAGTTCTGGCCAAAATTAATACAACAGCTTAATGTTATGATAAAGAATGACGTAGTTTGATTTATCAACATAAGTTTCTAACTTATTTTATCAATGGAGCTGCCTGGAGGATGTAAATCTAGCCTGCTGGACCATTGTGTTTTTACACATGTCATATTATTCATGAACTCACTTAAAAAGTAGCAATTTTAGTTGCTTGCTAACCTATAAATCTTTATTGCAAACAAGGATTTAACAAAATATATGTCTACTGTCTTTTAATTGGAAAAGTGTGAGTGTTTTTTATAGGGTGATCAATCGACCAAAACAGGAAGTTAAAATTTTATAATCAATAATCTGTCCGGTGTGAGCAGATTTTAGTGATAAGGAAACGGATTGAAAATATGTTCCCTATGTTTACTCTTATGACTGACTGCACTCTATCTCACTTTTGTCACAGAGCATCTTGGTAGCCCTGACCGCAAAGTGGAATTGCCAGCTTCTGTGATCCATCTTGCCCAACAGAGGGTAAGACCTGAACTGGCAGCCCGTTTCCTCATCAGGCATCTCTTCCCAGACAGCGTGCTTCTCAGGAGTAATGTGTATGGGGCAATTCGAAAAGGAAAGGCTCCGCTTGATTGCAATAAGATAAATGCTGTTAGAGGTGAGCTTTGATCTTGCTGTTCATCACTTGCCGCAGCTTTTAAATCCAGAATATGATTCAGATTCATGGGTGTAAAATATTTTTTTTTTGCATACTTACAAAATGTTCCATTCCTCGCTGTGTGTCTGTGCAGAGCTTTAGAATTCATGAATTGGAGGCACATTCTCTCAACACTTGTGCTCTCAATAAACCACGATGAATCTATTACGCTATTATTAACTGTATCCAGAGTGCAATGATCTCCAAAAGTAAATAACTCGAGGGTTGCTCTACTCCATTGAACACATTTGTAGATCGTCAAGAAGTCACAGAATATCACTGTACCGAGAGGCCATCTCTTGCCACCTAACCTAATCCTCTTCTCCATCACACTCCCCAATCGCTGTAATATTCCATCTCTCCAAGCATTTACCTATTTCCCTTTTAAAAGCATTTATAGACTTCTGACAACTCTGTCTGTGAAGACTTATTTTTGTAACGTTCCCTCCGATTATTTTTTGTCTCCCAAATTTGGGTACTCTCATTACTGACTTGCGGACCAATGGAAATGATCTATCACGATTTACTTTATCATAATCTTTACAATCTTGAAGACTTCTACCAGCTGAGTCATCTTCTCAGCTCCTGGAAAAAAACACTAACTTCAGAAGTCTCTTCATAACTGAAACCCTCTCATTCCTGGTCACATCCTAGTAAATTGTACTCCACTTTTTCATTTAATGTAGCAGATTTGTTTCAGTAAACCTATAACTTACATGCAGTTTTAAAATCTAAAGAATATGATGTTACAAATGGGAAATTAAATATGATGCATTTATTTATAAGTGCAATATGGTAAATTCTCTGAAATTGCCCTTTAGAATATCTTCCTTCATGTTTTTGTCAGTTTCCAAAATGAAACCTTATTTATTGACTTTTATTCGGTTTCTGATTCAGCAAGCACATTTTAAAGCTTAGACGAAAACAGAAGTCGCTGGGAACACTTAGCAGGTCAGGCAGCATATATGGAGAGAGGAAAGTGAGTTAATGTTTCAGGTCGATAACCTTTCGTCAGAACTGAAAGTAACTGCAGTATTTTGCCTTTTGCCTGACAGTGTAAAGCTTAATTTATTTTCCCATTTATCTCTCCACATAAAATATTCTTTGGCAGTGCAGCCACTTTATCTCTGGTGGGTATAATGCTCTGGGCCATAGACCTCTTCCTCACCTCTCCTGAAGCAATTCTAAAAAATGCATCACCATCAACTGGGTAAATAGTTAATAATAACAATAGACTGACCGAAAGTGACTGTGCTCACCTATATTGGGATTTTCAAGTTTTGTTATTAACCTTGTTGCTGCACATTGCTGAATATTCTCTAACATCAGTTTTCCTCAGATCTGTTGCAGTTTGCAGCAACAGTTGGAATTTCACGTTGCGTGCCAAACTCAATGTTGCGCGTATCTGTACACCAACATGCACCCAAGAAAGGGTGAGAAATTCCTGGGTTTAGATTCAATAACTTTTAGAGCGTGTTGAATTTGGCATATTATTGAATTCAATCTTTGAAGTGAGTTTTTCTATTTCTTAAAAGAACTTACAGAAAATCAGCTTCAAAATTGAAGGCATTATGTAAGAACTTGCCAAATTCTGGACTCCCTGAAATGCTACATAAATAGCATAAATCTAGACCTAGGTGGAATCTCTCCCCAGTGGTGTTTTCCAATCATTAGAGAGTTACAGACACAATTTGCTGCTCTTACAGTGCAAGACCATTTTTGTACCGTAAAGAAAAAGGCTTACAGTGTTTGTAGTGATAATCTGGTCTTCAGTTTGTCATTATCCTGCTCATTTTTTTATATATAGTATTTGTTTGTGTTTTGCAAAGACGAGGCGATCCGCTCAGCTGCCTCTGCCCTTCCGTCTACTACCCAGTCCCCATCTCCCCCTCACACCTTGGCCCCTACCCATCCCTCCCTCCATGCACCTTCAAACCTGACTCCCAATCCTCTCTCACCACCACTATAACCCGCATGAAACCAACCATCTGCTCCCTCGACCACATCCCTATCCCTCTCCTTACCTCCCAGCTTCACCTCCTTGCCCCTCTACTCACAGACATCATAAACCTCTCCCTGTCCACCGGTACCATTTCAACCCCCCACCACCTTTAAAAACGGCTGTCATCACTCCTATCCTTAAAAAACCCTCCATGGACCCATTTCTGCTAACAAAGTACCGCCCCATCTCCAACCTCCCTTTCCTCTCCAAGGTCCTGGAACAAGCCATTGCTTCCCAGCTTCGCTCCTTCCTCTCCCGCCACTCCCTTCACGAACCCCTCCATTTGTGTTTCCGTGCCGCCCACAGCACAGAAACAGCTCTGGTCAAAGTGACAAATGACATTCTGTCCATCTGCGACCAGGGCTCCCTCTGCCACCTTGGCCTCTCTGCTGCCTTCAACACCGCTGACCACTCTATTACATTACAATTATAAGGTTGTGGTTGTTTGTCTTTTGCAAATGCAGTTCAACTGCCTGAATGCTCACCTAACATCTATACGTACAAACAATTGGGATATTACTATAAGTCAAATTATTGCCCCAAAAGGAAGCACTCCACAACTCCATCATAGTTGCTTATGTTGTAGCGATCAGAATTGTATGCAGTAGTCTGGGTGTAGCCTGACCAAAGCACTGTACAATTTGAGCATGACTTCTTGGCATTTGACCTCAGTTTATGAGTCCTGCATATATACTGCTTGTCTTTCACATTACTGCTGCTGGCAACTGCGGCGTAATGGAAGTGATGCTGTGGTCCCCATATCCAGAGAAGTACTTTCCTCATGCCTCCACCATCCCACACAGCAGATTTCGGGGCTGATTCATAGCTAGAAAATTAAAGTTGCGATTCCCAACTTAGAAAGAGCCACCGTGCATGAATGAGCGTGAATTTAATTGTGTTTTGAGGCTATGGGTGCACAGTTAGTTGTTTGGGTGTTGCAACCAACACTTTCCATTCCATTCTCCTGAGTCCTCAGGTAAGGTCCCAGCACCAGCAGCCAATAGGTTACATCTTATCAGCATGTCTCAAACCTCAAACAATTAGCAAGTGAAAGTCACATTTAATATCTGAGCAAGCAGATCTGCCACATTTTAGTCAACAGCACATTTTCTTTCTCCTTTTAAAAGGTATTCACCCTCGCCACATACATTATTAACACTGTGGCAGGCATGTTAGCCAGCTCCCCCCCCACCCCAACCTTTTCTTATATAAATGGACAGCTTGTGAATGGCCACCAGGAGGTGCTAAAGAGCATCGCAAGTTGATTCCTTTCCACTTCCCAGATATCCTCATGGCATTTGTCATGAGCTTTGAATGATTTCAGTAACTTCCTCTGAGAGAGTTTTGTCAGGTTTGTTAACATGCCTGGTTTAAATGATTTTAAGACACTGAACATTGGTATACATTTTCAAGTGGTTGATTTATAGCTTTTTTTGTGGTAATATTGCTATTCTGATGAGCATAGTTTTCCTTAAAGAAAAGCACATGATTTATTTGTATCTTTGCCTGGGTTGTTCTGTCTTGCTATGTGATTCGATCAACCCTCATTAAAATTTAACAGCAAAATCTAAGCCAAATAGAAAAAATAATTCTGACTACTTTCCATTTCCCCTCAGAATTCCTAATGGATGGTTTCCCAAGTTTTGACCTTGCAGAGGATGGCAAGGATTGGAAAGTGTGCGTTGATGCAATTAATGGCGTCATTCGTTGCCTCAGATACGAACTTAAGAAGACATCCCAAGGAAGGTCATTCCTTAAACATTATTCATCACCGTTCAAGGCTCAAAAATGACTGGAATAATATGCAATGTTTACAGGGCAGACTTGTGCTACAGATTGCGTAAGTGCTTATCAAGAGTAAGTTGTTCACCATTTTATAACTGGAGCCTTTATCTATATAACTGTTCAGGAAGAACAGTATTAAAGTGGGCAATCCATTGTTCACTAAATGATGGTTTCATTTACTTTCTTCAAGTTATACTGTATATCACATGGGCTATTCTGCCTTCCTGGGTTCCAATCTCACAAACATAACTGTGAAGCCCACTCACCATGTTATGAAACCTCTTTCCCCTGCTCCACTGTCATTTTGTTTTTGGAATGAAGAAAGTTTGATATAAAAAGTACCACAGAACCGTCACTGAGAACTCATCTGTTCAGGTAATAAAGTGACAAGGTGTAAAGTCCTGGGTTTGTGTTATGTTCTCACAACACAAATGTAGAAATTACTATTTTATTCTCAGCTCTCAGAACACAATCCGACAATACAACCTCACCCCCTTCACTCAGTTGCCCTGCATCCAGCTTTATACTTCCTGATACCCTTTTATTGGTTCTCAGTTAAATGGTCATTTCATCTTCAAGGTTTGCATGCAAACCAACAGTTTGTATATAGCCCTGTACAGTTATTAATGTTACGTAAATAACAGCTAATTGGAATGTATATCATCTTGACAATGTAGTGGAGCTCCTATATAATTAAATCTTACTTGCTGTGACCAAATGGTACAGTATCAGGAGTTTTACTGTGCTGAGAACTAACTGATTATGCTTCACTTGAAGTGCCAGCCAGACATTGAATTCGAGGCAGACAAAGCAGGCAGAGCTAGATAAACATTTACAGAGTAAGGTAACCTTTAACTCGAGGCAGCTGAAGAGAAAAGCACATTTGATGAAATATGTGTTGTAGAAAATCTAAATAATGGGTCGTCTCAGAAACATGAGGCAGCGATTTAAAAAAAAGAAAAGCTGGTTTAAGAAAAGTAACTCGAGGAGTAATATAAAACAGCTTTGAGGGGAAAAAAAAGAGACCTTTTGAACATAAATCACAAGCTTGAAGTTGACCAGAGTGCTGCTGATACAAACTTGTGAAGAGTTTTTTTCCCCCCCAAGCTGAAAATTCAATATGGTGAGAGATAAATTCATTACCAAAGGAGTTTCCTTCTGTTCAATTCTACACAAATGTGAATGAATTGATAGACCGGGGAGGCTGATTATTGGTACATTTACTGATCTTGGTGGGTGAACCAGTCTTCTTTTGGTTATAAAGGAAGGTGAGTGAATGTTAATACCTAGTTATGCTTTATTGTAAAAGTTCATCCAATAAATACAGTCTGCACAGGTGCGAAGGCAACAAAGGTCACAAACCCGAAAAGTCACAATATAATTAACCACCAGGGAGTTGAAGCCTTTGATGTAAAATTACCAAACAAGTAAAGCAGATAAAATTATGAAAGCAGATTCATCTGTAGATTTTAACCATTGGCCTTTTGATATTTTAATTCTAAGATATTTCTAATTTATTCAAAATGGGCATAAGACGGACAGATGAAGTTAGGTTAAAAGATCAGCCATGCTCTTATTGAATGGCGGGGCAGGCTTGAGGGGGCCAAATGGCCTACTCCTGCTCCTAATTCCTAGTTCCTATGTTCCTATTAGATTATTGTGGTCTAGGCACATCTATGAAGCCAGCTCAACCCCACGGAGACCCTGCACCATTGGATATCAAAGTACACGTAACTTTTAGACTTGCAATTAATGGGAGAAATTTTCATTTTAAAGCTGTTGATTTTTGCCTGAGTGTGAACGAAACCACTGGAACCTGGGTGTCCCCCTGATCGAAGCCTCCCCCACTGGCCACACCTTTCACCACACCCCAGCCGTCCAAACTGAAGCAGCGTCGGGGTAGCCCTCATCTCCCAAACTTCCCTCGCTCTATCCCCCTATTCCTCAGACTTCTTCCCCTCTTTTGAACATTTAACTCTGTATCATCCCTCCCTCTCCTTCAAGATCCTCCTTATTTATCATCCTCCCAAGCTGCCTGGTTCCTTCATTCCTGACATTTCCTCCCTCCTCTCATCCCTCTGTCTCTGCACTGAACACCTGCTCATAATGGGTGATGTCAACCTTCACCTAAACTCCTCTTGACCCACCTCCTCTTGACTTCACTAGTCTCTTCTCCACACCAAACCTCACCCTCCACATAAACTCCCCAGCCCAAACCGTGGCCACCTAGACATCTCCGACCTGTCCATCACAGACAAGCCCATCTCAGACCATTTCCTCATCTCCCTCGCATCCCGTATCCCCCTCCCCTCTTCCAAACCTTCCACCATCTTTTTCCTCCCTTGGAAAAAGCTTACCCCCTGTCAGTCCTTCACAAACTCCCTCTCTTCCTCGGATCTCTTCTCCTGTTGGCCTGCCACCTGCAGCGATTCTGATGCAGCCATCAATCTGCTAAAAGATTGGCTCTCTGCAACCTTCAACTCCCTTGCCCCCCTGAAATCCAGGGCTGCCTTTAAATCTACCTGCTTCCCCTCGTATAACAGTCAGCTCCGTGCCCTCAAAACGAAAACCCAAAGGCTCGAGCGCATATGGCACAAATCTGGCCTCGCAATCCACAGTTAGCTGTGGCTTTCGGGTCTGCACATCTATCACCTCTCCCTCTCACTGGTCGAAATCATTTTGGAGGCCAAAAACAACCCAAAGGCACTGTTCTCCATCATCAATCACCTCCTCCATGCACCCACCCAACCTCTCTCCATCCTCACCTGGAACGGCAAGCAAAAAGAGGTCCTAGACTTCTTTATGTCAAAGCTTGAAAACATCCACTTGGCTGCATCCTCCTCTCCTACTTCCCATTCCACAAACCTAAGACCGTCTACACCACCCCCTCCTTCCACCATGACCCAACCACTTCCCCTTCCCTGAACTCCTTTGCCCGATTACTACCCCCTCCCTCTCAACCACCATCTCCCAGATGAAGCTCACCACCTGCTGCCTCAACACCTCTAATGTCAAATGATTTCAAAATACTTCATTGTGATTGATGTCAAGTGTAGTAACTGTATACTCATTGTTTGATGAGGCAACCAATTTCCCACAGGAATGTTCTACAAGTAGCCATAAATTCAATATCCAATTTATCCAGAGGATTGTTGATCAGGACACCAAGTGAAACTCACTTCTCTTTTTAGCCAGTGCCACATGATGCTTTAACGTCCAGCCGAGCAGACGGGACATTTGGTTTAACTTTTCATCGACCGCCTGTCACCACACGTGTGAGCTGGAATCAAAGTCCCCACACAGGGATTGAACCCATAACCTCATGACCCAGAGTGGAGCATACCATCCATCGACTGAGATGATAATAAAATAATAATCTACTTAATATAGGGTATTATGTCGCTGAGACGTCTCAAAGCTCTTCATGGAATATACTGTAAAGTGGGTTGACTGTATATTTTGTGGGCAAGATGTGGCAGACAGTTGTGACATCAGGGTCCCACAGTGTAGTGAGTGACCAAGTTTGTTTTTATTTGGGGTATTGTTGGCCAGAACAGAGAGAAACACCCTTCTCGAATAGTGCCAAAGGTTCTTTAACATCCACTTGAACAGGCAGATGGGACCTCAGTTTGACATCTCATCCGAAGAACACCATCTTGGACAATGCAATGCCCCCCCCCACCCCAAAGCTACATTGGTGGGTCATCTTAGACTATGTGATTCCAAGGCCCAATGAGGGATTGAAACCCACAAGCTTCTGACACAGAGGTGAGAGTGGTACCACTGTACCTGGCTGACCGCAAACCTGCTGGCCTCTATCCGGACATTGGGTAAAGGCCCGAGCTCAAGAAGCTGGACTTCTCTGCTCATCAAGGGAACGCCCAGTAACCAGGAGCAGCTTGAGAAAAATGAAGTCTCTTCTTACAGCAATGTTAGGTCACAGTGTGGCTACGATGTGGGCGAGTAAGGAGTTAATGTGTGGAACACACTTTCTTGTGTGGAATATGCCCTACAGGTGCATGATTAACTTGGTGCTAACAGGTAGCAGAGGAGGTATAAAGAAAAGCACAGAGGCCAGAACAGTTTAGCTAGGTAGGACAGGCTGAACATTGTGCTTGCATTGAAATTCTTTGGAAGAGGATTACTTGGAGTCAAGGGAATGGTGCAGATTGTGGAATAGTTTTTGTTGGCAGGTCATTTGTGGTTTGAGGTGTTGTGACTGAGTTTTCATGTGGTTTTTATGCTGAGACTGTTGAACAGGCAGGTAGCAAAAACTGAAATAGTTTGGGCTTGCTTGGAGATCTTGTACATGTTTGATGAGTATGGAAAGTGGGTTTATTGATGGCTGTTTTATGTTGAGGAAGTTTTGGGGGAAACTAAATGTCTAAGGGAAATTAAAGTGGCTGAGGATAAAGGCAACATTCAACTGTCTCTACAAAAGCTTCTAGAAGGCAGCAATGTTAAAATTCTTCAGAGAGGAAGTGTTTTTTTGATGTTCTCCAGACAGGAAAGGTGCCAAGTAAATTGTTGCATCTTATTGGAGTTGGGTCAGCAGCTGAGTGGTTCTTGGATAAAAGGCTATTTTATTCACACATTGTATTGAGCTTTATTCAGACAATTGATGTTGTGGAGAGAGAGATAGGAACATCTTAACACACCATGAAACTCTAAATTTAATGAAAATTAAGATTTCTGTATTGAACAGAGGCTCCTTAAAACCCATGTGGCTCTATGGCCAGTTCCACCTTCCATTATTTAGGAGCTGGCATTGCAGCCATGTGGGTTTAGATGAAGGAGCAGAATTACAATTGGCTTTTACGCGCCAAGCTGGTGGTGCACATTCTGAAGCAATTCCCAAATTTGTTGAGGAAATGGCATCCAATTGCCAGAACAAGTTATTCTGCAAAAGGAATTAATGGCTCATATCCTGGTCAGCTCATCCAGCTCTGGTCTGTTCCATGTCCCCCACCTGGCCAGCCCTGCACCTCTATCGGTGGTGAGGCCTTAAGCCTCTCTGCCCCCAACTCCTTGGAACTCCATTTCCACTGTCTATTTGCCTTGTGCCCATCTCAAGGCTGTGCTTTGGCTGACTCATACTCCTTCCCTCCTGATCCCGCTCTCAAGTCCTGCCTGAAAAACTTCCTGTTCAACTGTGCTTATAGCTCCTCCTGGCTCAAAGTCAGGCTTCACCACTGTTAAGCGCTCTGAGAGGCTATCCTGGGTGGAGGGCACTGTGCAGGTTGTTGGGTCCAAATCCCTAACTCTCCAGCAGCTTGGGATGTCCTCTTGACGTGAAAGGTGTTATACAAATGTAACTTGTTATTGTTGAAGTGAAGCTTGGAAATGAGAGAAATGACCCAAGCTCAGGGCTGCTGAAGCCAATTGTTGTGCTCTGCTTATAATTATTATCTCATTGCAACCAGGAGGGTTACTCCCTGATCCTGTCACACCTTGAATTGGTGAAAACAAAGGCGACTGATGCTGATGAAATGGCCAGTGTCCAAGGGAACCCATTGAAGATGATTTGAGCATTCAGGTGCATGACCCTTCGTGATCTCACTGGTATTAATTTTGTGAGTTTTTATTGTTCAAAGGGGAAGGGTCCTTATTCATGTACTTTAGCTTTGAAACTGTTGAGCAGCCACCAGAACATTAGTTAACGTTTAGCTCATTATCTACATTCCCTTTGTCTACATGTGTAAAGTAGGTGCAGGCCAG